AATTATCCTAGTCAGGATCCTAAAAAGGATGCTAATTAGAAGCTTCTGATTACACTTGACTAATTTACTTACTGATTCAGTCAGTTACAAGCGCGCGGCGAAATCAGTCGGACTTTTTCATAATGGCTCCAGTCCTGTCAAAGCAACAAAAAAATCTGCCTTCTAGTAGGCCTGGCCGTTGGCTCAATGAAAATAAAATAAAGTAAAAAACGAAAAACTTGGGTGAAAGAATATTAATATTATTAATGTTATTTTTATCTTTTTTGTTCCAAAGATACGGCCTATGTTTATACAATTCGATTATGTTACTCATAACTTCTGTTTCTTTTACAGCCGACATCGCACACTCGCGTAATTCGTAATCGTCCTTAGGGTGCGGCCAGAGTGCACTCAGATTCAGATTCAGATTCTGAAAACAAGCGCGAGAAATAAACAGTGTAGTCTAAGCAGGTTGCCTGCTTTTTCTCGCGCTTTGTTTTCTGAGTCTGAATCTGAATCAGGAGTGCACTCTGGCCGTACCCTTCGACTACACTGTTTATTTCTCGCGCTTGTTTTCGAAATCTGAATCTGAGTGCACTCTGGCCAGTGACACCTGCGGTGCGATCACAGACTAGTTAGAGATACTACGGGTGCGACCAAAGAGTATGGTAATATATAGGGGTGCGACTGAAGCATCTAAACGCTATTACACCTTCCTAAATCGCGTTTCTAATTAGGATACTAAATGATTTAGTCAGTCAGAAGCCACACTTCTTCTGATTTAAGATATTAATTAGGATCCTCACTTCCTAAATGCTATTTCACATGACTGTGAATTAGTTACTAATGATTTAGAACGTCTGAATTTAGACAGGTGGAATAAGCGCTTTACGACTTCTACAGCAGTAAAATAAACGGTCCCTGTGAGAGGCACTCTACGGAGGCTGGTTGATACTGTTGTCTCTATATCATTGTTTGTGCGGTTTTGCTGAGTATTGTATTCTACATCCTGGTTGACCTTTATCCTTCTTGAAACGTAAAAGGAATTAAAATTTGTGATAGCAATAGATTTAATATGGAATGGATTTAAAAGTTGTAAAATTAACACACATAAATAAGTCTGTTTTCGAAAATTCATTAATATTCTTTATGAATATCTCTAGGATTTTTATGGTTGAGTTGACAATTTGCCATTTTATGGGTCCACTACACCATTTGGTTATGATGGGCGATCACAAGATTGGCTATGATCGATACGATCATCGTGGAAAATTATGTCCATTGTTTGAATATAACCATACAAATTGGTGAAATATTGTATTCGTAGGTTTATTTTAATATAATTCGATAAAGCTTACTGATTTATCATTATTCCACTATTAAAAGTATGTAGTAAAAAGAAGTGCTACATTAAACAAATTTCGTATACGTATTCCCTAAATTCGTAAAAGTACTTACACGTATTAACCATTTCGCAGCCAAATGTGAACTGAGCGATTGGCGATTGTGTGCGCTGGGCATGCGCTAAATCATGAACTTTACTTTGATATTTGTCCAAAAACCACTCAGCGGCGATCGTGGTCGAGTCGATCATTGCCAATCAACATAGATGATAACAAGCGTCCACGTGTTTATGATCGCCTATAATCGTCCATCATGGCCAGGGTCGGATTTTGTACTATAATTATAGTATTTATACTATAATTTCGCCCTTTGTACTATATACTATCCACATCTAAGGATAGTACGCTTAAATACTATAATTTAAAGTTTGTTCCCGAATGCTTAGTCTTTTACGTCATATTTTGAATATTTCGACCGTGTTTCTATCCAACCGAATTCTGATCTTGCGATGTTTGTTGTGTTGATGGTCGGGGGTTCCCCGATTATCCTCCGCAGTATACTTCTCTCTTTCTACTAATCTCGTCCCTTCCATTCCATTCGAAAATCAATCAGAGTTTGCTCAATGTTTTAACAATCGCTTGCGAGTTTTTATGTAAAATAGTACGTTTTCAGTGTTTTAATTATGGAAAGTGGCATCAAAAGCGGTAGCAAAAGTGGAAATTGTACTGTTTTTATTCCTACTGAGGATAATATGTTGATGAGATGAAATGCCAAGGATGAAGAGAGAACTAATAGTAATATTCAAGAACTCATAAACTTATAAGAGGAGCAAATTTTGCCTTAACGGGTGTCGATTTTATTTACCATTATATGTTAAATAAAAAATAATTAAAGTGTGCTATATTTTGATGGAATCCTTAAAGATATTCCATCAAAATATAGCGGGATTTATATGAAAGCGAGATATCTTAGAAGTGAGCATTTCAGAGTTGAATGACATAAATAAAAGACCAGATATAATTTGCTTGTCTGAAACGTTTGTTCGATTGGGAAGTGAGCGTAATTTGTTTATTTCTGGTTATGATTTAGCGTCAGCTTACTGTAGAAAAAGCCGTAATAATAGGAGTGGAGTATGTATTCTACTGAGAAAAGGTATACGTTGTCAGGAAGTACTCGACATTAAGCATTTTGCAGAAGACTTGACATTTGAGTGTTGTGCAATCAAATTGCTTGATTACAATACTATAATAATAGGTCTTTATAGAACCCCTGATTCCAATGTCAACTCATTTCTCCTAACATTAGAAGATGTCCTAAATAAATATATGAAAAATTCCAAATCACATCTTGTGCTTGCTGGGGATCTAAATATTAATACTCTAGAATCATCACATGGTGCGAAATCGTTGATGGATATCGTTAAAAATTATAATCTCACATTACACATTCAAGAACCAACCAGAAAAAATAACTGCATTGATCATTTAATCAGTAACTTTGATAAGGCTTATTCTGCATTGCATAATTTATATTTGTCAGACCATAATACGGCACAAATGTTGTACATACCCATCGAAAAGAAAATTGTTTTACTTTTTAGTTATTACATTAAAGTTAGAGATTACAGTGAACATAATCTGGAAAAATTTAGGACTCAGCTGAAATGTTTATCTTTTGAGAAGATGTTTGATGAAACTGATTTAAATACAGCTATGTCATTGTTTCACAATAGTTTGACAAAATTATATAATTTATGTTTCCCAATGAAAAAAATTAAAATTTCAAATAAGTATAACAAGCCTAAATGGATTACTCGAGGTATAACACTGAGTTGTAAAACGAAGAGACGACTGAGATACCAGTTTTACACTTCGAAATCTTACGCAAAAAAAGAAAAATACAAAACTTACACGAAAATTCTACGTAAATGTTTAAGCACTGCTCAAAAAATATATAACGATAAACTAATAAGAAAAACCAAAAATAAATGTAAAATGACATGGAAAATAATTAAAAATGAATTAAATTGTATTGAAAAAAATTAATCTATTAACGAAATAATACTGGACGATAAAAAAAATAATAATCCGGTTCAAATTGCCAATGAATTTAATAACTTTCTAATAAAAACAACAGAATGTAATGATAATATTTTAAAAAACACTAATGAAAAACGCGTTCCAAATAGTATATTTTTACATCCATTACATGTTGATGAAGTGAAGTCTATAATTAATTCACTAAATAATACAAACGCCACAGGTTATGATGGCATCTCTACCAAGGTTTTAAAATATGCTGTGATTGAACTTACTGCCCCTATTACACATTTGGTAAATCTCTCACTGATGAGTGGCAGTTTCCCTGAACTTTTAAAAGTATCGGTAGTAAAACCACTTTTTAAAAAGGGTTCAAGGAGTACAGTAGAAAATTATAGGCCTATTACTCTGGTACCAGTGTTATCGAAATTTTTTGAATTAGCTATGAAAAAGCTTAGTTAGTTTAAAAGCTTATGCTTAGTTTTATTTTAAAATACAATATACTGAAATCAGAACAGTTTGGTTTTCAATCTAAAAATTCAACAACTTTAGCCATTTTGAGCTTGATGCGTGACGTAGTTGAACATGTTAATGCAAAGAAACCTACTGCCGTGGTATTTTTTGATATGAAACGTGCATTTGATTTTGTTTCTCATGATTTGCTACTGCTTAAGTTACATAATTTAGGTATAAGAGGTACTACATTAGACTGGATTAAATCTTACTTAACAAATAGAAAACAAGCTGTAGAGATCAATAGTCTAGCGGAGGATACACTGGTGGTTTCAAATAAGTCGGAATACATAATAATGGTGTGCCTCAGGGAAGTGTACTAGGTCCATTGTTATTTTTATTATACATTAATGATCTTCCTGATGCAACCGGTCATAAATGTGTTCTGTTCGCGGATGATGTGTCCATAATCATTCCTTACTGCAATGGCCCTGATAACTTTCAAAGCGAGATAAATGCTTGTATTGAGAATGTAATAAATTGGCTTAAATTTAATAATTTGACAGTGAATCTTCAAAAGACAAATTGTATGCAGTTCGGTACAAGTAGACAAACTAAAATACCACTTAATTATATTATTAATTATAAAGGTCAGAGAATTGAGAATGTGAGTGAAACAAAATTTTTAGGTATTTTACTGGATGATAATTGCACTTGGAAGCAACACGTTGATCTGATAAGTAATAAGTTGAACCGCTATGTATTTGTGTTGAAAAGGTTGAGAAGCATGGCTGCGTTACAAACTACTCTGGTAGCCTATCATGGCTATATTGGTAGCATGCTTAGGTATGGACTCTTAATTTGGGGAAATTCAACCGACGCGGATAGACTGTTCAAAGTCCAAAAAAAAAATATGTAAGGGCGATCTGTGCGCATTCCCCACGCGAGTCTTGTAAGCCATTCTTAATGGAATTATTTGTAATATATATCAGGGTATTTATAATTGTTTAGTAAAGACCCTTATTTTAATTTAATTTAAGTTTAATTTAGTGTTTTGTATAAAATGCATGCCATTTATGGTCAAATATGTAGAATCTGTTTTGTATACATGTCATTTTATTGTACCATATTTTTTGCAATAAATAAATCTAAATCTAGATCTATATTCTTTTTTACAAATACTATCCTTTTCATTTTTTTGTGCTATCTTTTTCAACATACCTAAATCCAACCCTCATCATGGCCTTTGGTGTGGTGTAGAGGAGCCATTACAAAATGAATGACAGACAGAATGAGTTTTTTTTTCGAAATGGCACTTGGCGAAAGTTTGAGCGCGCAGCTCCCGAAATCGATTTTAGCATACCTAAAGATTCATTTCTAGTAAAAACGTAAACAAAATGCCCGAAACAATTATAGAATGTGTTATCACTGGCAAATTAGACAGCGATTTGTTGCTCAAATGGTTAAAAAACGAAAATTTGGAGGTGAAACTATAACCTAGAAATTGGTGCAAATATTTTTTTTTCCATAAAATATTGGGTTTTATGTGTTTTGTAATGTTTTCAGGACACGCCTGAAGACTGTGTACTATACTGTTGTAGCCGAAATGAGTTTGTGGCATACTTTTTGTCATATTTGAGGGTTCAAACGAGTAGGTAAGCGATAATGTTAAAATGTAAACAATACTTTTATATTAATTTATTATTTAATGTTGAAACTTTACCATCGAAAATTGTTTGTTTTATCGTAGGTGTCGTTATAAGGTGTTCTGGATTAAATAAAGGTTCTGAAAATTGTACAGAATATATTATTATGTATAATGTTATTCAGTTATCAATGTACCTACAACAATAATTTGTAAATTAATTTAATGATTATTATTTTGGGTCTTCTGAGTGGGTTCTACGACTACAAATGACGGTTCTGTTTATTATTGTAGACTAGTACAGACCTGTAGCTCTGTTAACTACATTCTTGTTCTAAAATCCATTAAATATTTTGCTTTTTAATCTAGAAAGCCTAGTTTGTGCTGAGAAGAGCTCGGCTTAAAAAGTTTCTAAGTTTGGACACCGTAACTAAATAACTTTAGTGTCCTCTAGATTGTCAGTATTGGGTTAGCTTTGTAGTTATCAGAGTGCCCAAATAACTTGTATATTATTCAAACCGTAGTTCTCAAGCATAAAGAATAGGGGTGATGACTGGGTACAGTAAACAAAATTCTATTTAGTCCGTCAGTTAGATGATCAAAAAATAATGGACACATATTTTTTCTTTGGGCAATCAATCAAAAAATGGCAAAGTTATAGTGTGTCAAAGTTTGGGAGTTGGGGCTCATGACGTCACCTTTAAGTGAAAATTAAACCAAAACGTGATGTCATATGACTTTTCAAATCAATATATCTCTGCAATGTTTATATTATGTGAAAAAAGAAAAAAAAGTGTCCAATACTATTTGATAATCTACCTGATAAAGGAAGAAAAAAAAATTAGTCATCATCCCTATTCATTTGTATGTTGAAACTCTGATTTATAGAGATAACACATTGTCCTGCTTAATCTGAGCCAATAATGTTCTATAAATCTATCTTAAGATAATGCATTTCTATTTCATATTATTTTCTTAAATATATACAAAACACAATCACTACAAAGTTCACACGTACCTTTCATAATAAAGCATTTTATTGCTGGCCAAGGTCAAAATCATTTAGAACAGTGGTTGACTAAAAGGTAAAGAACCACTGATTTAGAGTTGTCAACTTTAAAAACATTTTATGCTGAGTCTACATGTAGAAAATGCCAAAAACAAATGTGTATAGCTACATTACTAAATAATAAAAAATAAATATTTCCAACACTCATACCAAGCCTAGCTCCTGAGTAAGCACTGTAAGGCTTGTGTTATGGGATACTAGGGTAATGGATAGAATACATAAATTTGATATATATGTATATGTAAGTATATGTACATAGAAATACATATTAAACATTCATATTTACATTCTGTAGAATAGATTTTTCTTTTTAGATACTACATTAATGAAAAGTTATGTGATTAACTCTGTTTCACTTGATAATATTACTCATTGGTCTATAATAATAACGTTTGTTTATTTTATTTTATTTATTAAGCCTCCCACCCATAGGTGCATTATTATCGGCCAATAATATTGGATGCAATTTGCGATATTTCTTTATACTTCTATTGCGTCGTTATCGTAACAGCAGTGTGTTAAAATTCTATTTACTTTTTCTGTACACTTTAACACATCCTCTATAAATTATAATGTATATTATGTATATGTTATGGGCCAAGTGATTAATGTGGGCAGTATTCACAATGCCAGGGCAGTATGAATAATGCCCAGCCATATTGGGCCAAGTGATTAATTACACTCTAAACTCACCTATTTGTCACATTGCCCGGCCATTATTATTAATGCCGGACGGCTCGTGGCCCATGTAATAAGACAGTGTTTAGAAAGCTTGAATTTATCAATTGGACAGGGCAGTATGAATAAAATCAAAACGTTGGTACAATTGTCAAAATGACAGATGTTTCGTCATTTTGTATTTGTTTTGAGATCTTGGTAAATAAAAAATAGTATGGGCTCAACACTTAGAAAAAAAAGTAAATGTGGCTTTACAACAGTCTTTAATTCAGAACCGACTTGGTCAACCCCGACACGCCGTGGTCTTGGTCTGCCCTATCCCTAGAGTGATTTTTAGAGGCCGGAGGCGCGCAGTCCCCGCCTGCTGTGACAATGCCGCAAGCATCGTGCGAACCGTAGCGTCTGAGGCTGGTCGCCGCCGGAGGTGGCGACCAACAAGCCGAAGGTGTGAAGGAGAGTGATGCTTGTGACTTTGTCACGCAAAGGCGGAGGGGCTGCTATTCCCATAGCGCCGGAGATAAGGCAGAAGTACTGGTTCTTACTTCCCTATTCCTTGCATCCTAAAAAATAGGGAACCATAAATTCTGAACATTTAACAGATTTGATGAATTTTTCAAACAAACTGCATTGAAACTACTATAGACTATAGTTTCTAAATGTAGCCCTTCGTAAATTGATCGAAATAAAACCAAAGTCTGATTATTTAAATTTAAAAAATAAATACTAAACTATAATACATGTTTTTATTATTACTCTACCCGATAATTGATTTCATTACTTGTACTGCTCAGTCTATCTAATTAAGTATTCATTTGAAAGTATTAAACATGCTTTACATCACTCTGCCCAATAGGCACTGGGCATTATTCATAAGGCCCGGGCAATGTGATAAATTGATTGGTTATAATTACTTTGCCAGCTCATATTGGGCATTATTCATATTGCCTGGGCCTTATGAATAATGCCCGAGTAATCACTTAGCCCATAACATATACATTATAATATGAGTTTCTGCTCTAAACACAGCTGGTCTATTAGTCCTTAAGTGTCCAAAATGTTTGGTATTTTTATCTTTTTTTTCTGAGAAATCTCTGGATCAATAACCATTTGTGTATTTCGACATTTTGACTCCCCCCAAATATCTACTATGGACTAAAGGAGACACCAGAAATATAAAATAATGTTTCTCTATACAATCTTCTTTTTTGCAACGGGCGTTTCCGCAACTACTTAAGTTTGGCACAAGCGGGGCCTTGTATCTCTTTTCTTAAGTCCTGAGCTGAAAAAATAAAAAAAGCCTTTTATTTTTAGCTTTACAAAAAAATAAATTATGAATAAATTTAAAATTGCATATATATCATAAAAATATTAGTAATAGCAGTCAAAAATTACAATAATTATGTCGTACACATAGCAAAAGTAATGTCTAAAAAAAGAACAAATCTTTTTTTTCTATATATATATGTTATGATTTTATTGTGGGTTGCCTACAATGCGAAGAGATGGCGCTGCCTTGCAGCCTAAGGCTAGGAAAATTTCGACGCGGCTAAGAGGGCCGTGGTAGCATAATGGTCAGTGCATTCGTCCGGATTGCGAAGGATGCGGGTTCGAGTCCCGTCCGCTGCCTGGTCCGCGTGGATTTTTTCTAGTAAACTTTTCTTTATATATATGTTATTTGATAGTTGGAAATTATCCATCTTGTATTATAATGCAACGCAAAAGATTCAAAGTGTATAAAGACAGACAACAAAGTGATTCTATAAGGGTTCCGTTCTTCTTCACCTATATGGTGAAGAAGAATGAAACAGAACCATGAAAACGTCTTCTGGGCAAGTTTATTGTCCATGGTTTTACTCAAGATGTTGGCTGGTAATGATTTAAACATAATCACTGCTGCCCAGTAGGTTCTATGCAGTAACTATAACCTATAGACCGTTTTGCCACCAGGATGGTCCGGCCATAACCCACCCTTAGCTGCATATATACATTTTTTCATACAAATTAACATTTGATTGATATCGAAGCTGAAACCAAAATATAGTGCTAGTTTATTTGATTTTAACTATAAATTTGAAATATATTGCGAGACAATAGATTATATAGCATTAAGTAACAAACACTTAAAAAAAATAGCCTTTGTTCTCTGCTTTATTAATTAAAAGTTAAATCTTTTAGTATAATCACTGACATCGGCACATGTTACAATCAGGTTAACCTTGGACCTCCTCCAAATTGGCCCATTGGTTCCTATTTCTGGCTGCTCGTCGCCAACTCTTGGGTAGATCGTCTTCCCATCTTTTGTGTTGTCTACCTCTTCTACGTTTACCATCTCGAGAGTACCACTCCATATCTGTATATATGTAATAACAAACACTTTACTAGTGTTTAACTATAAATTAATTTTTCAGCATCCTCCAAACCAATAACAGCACACTACCACCGTTACACCAAACCCCAGAAAAGGTTCACAACGCTCGTCGCAAACATAGACGGTCCATCAGCGACCCGACAAGCGAGGACCGAAAGGATTCTCTATCTGTCAAATCCCAATCGCAACGTAGTCATGAATCCCCGAGCAAAGACCGCAAGAAAACCGGCCGCAGGGTCAAAACTAAACTCTTTCCGGAGGATAAGAACTTGTCCGTGTCATCAGATGAATCCAGACTGAGTTTGGGCATGGAGAGAGTGGCCTTATCGAGCACGCCACTGAAGAACGGACTCAAACTATCGGATTACCCGAATCTCGCTAGTCCGGTCACACCAAAAAGTTTCAGAGACCACGAAAGGTGCGACACTCCGAGACTCAGTCACAGCCACAGACACAGATCGCACGAAAAGAGTTGCTTAGGAGACTACATGGTCAACGTACAGAAGAGTTCTAAAAAGAAGAAAACCTTTAAAAACGCTTCAGATGATAGTGAAACTAAAATCGAATTAGATTTGAGCAATTCGGACATATTTCCTGAAATTGGCGCTAGGAAATCCAGCTCGCTGAGGTCGGAGAAGAGAAGGATTAAACCGACGAATATAGACAAGAGCACGTCGCGAAAGAGTTTGTCTTTGAATAGTTTCAACTCCGATTGCTTCCAACAGCCGTCGCCGCTGGCACTTGAGGATAATGCCGCTTTTAAACAGCAAAGCGTGCAACCCAAAGAGTCCTCCAATACTTTTGAAGCGGAACGGAGCATGCTGAAACTGGAAAGGCACAAATTAATGGAGAAATTCAACATTTTAAACACCACCACGTCTCCTAAACCTCTGACGCCCACAATAAAAATCTCGCAGAAGGATTCCTTTGAGAAATCACAGAGTTTCATCAAACCCGATGTCACTAAAATAGTTCTTAAAGAGAAGCTAGAGTTTTTGATAGAAATATACGATGCTTTAATAAACACCAACTTGATATTGAGTGTGAATACAGAGATATACTTTTTGATAACCATTTTGCTATCCATGCAACAAGAGGAGGATTTTAAAGAGATAGAATCGCAGTTGAGCAGTGAAAACTTGCATTTCTTGTTGAAAAGCATACATAATTGCACGTATTTCGCTGTGAAAGCCTTGTGGAATTTGAGGAATGTGCTAGAAGTGATATTGGACAAGAATTCTTTGAAGATTTTAGGGGAGAATAAAAAGGTTAGGTCTTTCTGTCCAGATTTGGCCAAGTTTTTGTTGAATTCGTACGGTTTGAAATGCGAGTTGGAGAACAATCAGGACAAGAAGAGCACCAGCGCTGGTAGGTGTTCCAACGTGGTGATCTGCTTCAACCATGAAACTGATAATGTGGACAACTTCCCTTCGGTGCTGAGTTTCCAGAACTTCAAGAAGCAGAGGGACATGTTCTATGAAATATTGAGGTATGTGTGATGCCCTATTTATTTCATTTAAATTCTGTTATTCATATTGCCAACTTGAATGTTTTAAACCAACAATGTGTAGGCTAGAGTCTGCGCGGAAAGAGAATGGTATTTAGATTGGAGGGCGCTGTAGTGCTTTTCTACCGTATTTGTAAGATTTTACCCCTTTTAGACATGATTAAATACAAAAAAGCGCAAGAAATCACAACAACAAACAAATCCGTATCAATACAAAACTTTGACGTTTTACAGATTGCTGGGTTTGATTGCCAAATAAAAATCTTAATGTTAGTTCCGTTTTTCGCCACGCCCATTCTCTTTCCGCACAGGCTCTACCTCTCTTTATATACTCTTTCTCGGAATCTTGACTGGCAAAGGACGAAACTCACTGATCGCTATATTACAGAAATTTTAGACGTATACTATTCTTTTACGGTTTAAAATGTGGGTGAGAGGGCTCGACTAAGATTTAACATAGGTTGTTATAGAGTTATATAACATATTTAAACATCATGAGGAGCTCGATGGCGCAGGTGGTTAGCGCGTTCGGTTGCGATCGTTGAAGTTAAGCAACTTCCGCAATGGTCGGTCATTGGATGGGTGACCAAAAATTTACTTTCTCTAGCTCCTCTGTGCTTAGTAAGGCTCGTTAAGCCGTTGGTCCCGGCTGCATCTGCAGTCGTTAGCACCCGCCAATCCGCACTGGGCACCTGTGGTGGCCCAATCTCCCTATTCCATCCATAGGGAAGGCCTGAGCCCCAGCAGTGGGGACATTAATAGGCTGATGATGATGATATTTAAACATCCATGGATTAGGTACAAATGCTCATATTCATCATACAAACATTTGGCCCGCTGGGATTCGGATTCCAAGCCGTGGAAGGACTTTTTGAAGTTATAAATTCTTTTAAACTTTCATGGTCACTAACATTATCTTAATATATATAAATCTCGTGTCACAATGTTTGTCCTCAATGGACTCCTAAACCACTGAACCGATTATAATAAAATTCGCACACCATGTGCAGTTCGATCCAACTTGAGAGATAGGATAGTTTAAATCTCAAATTATAGTCGCAATTTTAATTTATTGCAAATTATTACTTTTGGGCGGTACGAAGTTCGCCGAGTCAGCTAGTAGTAATATATGTTACTAGCAAACCAGTGAACCAAATGTTCACCAAAACCTGATTAAAAAAAAAATGTATTTAATTAATTGAGAACTTCGGAGATTTTGAGTGGTTTCGTTTGAAATTCGTGATTTCTCGAAAACCGGAAGTGCGTTACTCAAATTCGGTTTGTAGTCTTATCAGACTATTCTTAACTTATAACTTAAACATTCTCTTTATCTATCTATTACGGTTTGGCCGCTGAAACAACACCACAGACGGACGGACGGACTTGTCTAATAGATAAGAGATTAACGGGATCATGGCGCTTGCAACAGTGCCGAAATATCGGAAACTCGCTAAAACAAGGTACATGGTAACAATCCCGTTCCGTTAATAATATATATAACTATAATGATAATTTCTTATGAGAGGGTAATTCGCTTCGTTACGTAACGCGTTACGGTGCCAGTCTTTGATATGCCAGACCACAAAGAGTTGATATACATATAATTTAAGTAATTAATAGCCTAAGCTTTTATAAAGTTAAACAATATCAATATTAAATATTTCAACTTGGGTTAGTTTAAGTTTGACAACTTCTGTTCTGTCGTGCGTCTCGAGACACGCACGCTTTATTTTTTATTGATCTAATATATAAAATTCTCTCGGCTTGACCGATTCTCATGAAATTTTGTGTGCATATTGGGTAGGTCTGAGAATCGGACAACATCTATTTTTCATCCCCCTAAATGTTAAGGGTAATCCAACCCAATTATTTTTTTTTTCAATTTTTAGATAATTTTTTTTTTGAATTTTTTTATGATACATCATACAAAAATACATACAACCCTAAATTTTCACCCTTCTACCACCAACCCCTATTTTTTATGGCTGTACGAAGTTCGCTGGGTCAGCTAGTCTAATATATAAAATTCTCGTGTCACGGTGTGCGTAATTGAACTACTCCGAAACGGCTCGACCAAGTTTCGTGAAATTTCATATGCATATTCAATAGGTCTGAGAATCGGACAACATTTATTTTTCATCCCTCTAAATGTTAAGGGTGGTATATCCTTATTTTTTTTATTGAAAAAATTATTTGTTTTTATTTTTGATACATCATACATTAATACATACAACCCTTTTTCACCCTTCTACCACCAACCCCTATTTTTTATGGCGGTACGAAGTTCGCTGGGACAGCTACTGATTTTATTTCACTTTCATCTTAGTTTCATAAAACCACACTAACATTATAGCTATTAACGGGATTGTTACCATGTACCTTGTTTTTTATGAGTCTCCGATATTTCAGCACTGTTGCAAGCGCCATGATCACGGAGTAACTGAAGTAATTGCGGGTAGATGTTATTGGCAGACATATCGGTCTACCCTCTGACGTCGTCTTTTACTGCGCTCGATACCCCTACCACTGGTCACATTCTCACTATTCACTCGCACCTGTTCCCGACACACAATACTCTCAGTATCAGATCGCGGAACGACACTTTTTTTGATTTTTGCGGTTTTTGCGGTTAGTCACCATGAAAGTTTAAAACAATATAATAAATAAATATTTCCGACACTCACACCAATTAGCCTAGCCCCAAAGTAAGGCTTGTGTTATGGGATGCTAGGGTAACGGATAGAATACATATACTATACATATATAAGTATATTTATATATAAATACATATTTAAACATCCATGACTGGAGTACAAATGCTCGTATCATCATCATCAGCCTATTAATGTCCCCACTGCTGGAGCACAGGCCTTCCCTATGGATGGAATAGGGAGATTGGGCCATGACCCACCACGCGGGCCCAGTGCGGATTGGTGGGTGCTAACGACTGCAAATGCAGCCGGGACCAACGGCTTAACGTGCCTTCCGAAGCACAGAGGAGCTCGAGATAGTAAATTTTTGGTCACCCATCCAATGACCGACCACTGCGAAAGTTGCTTAACTTCAACGATCGCAGCCAAACGCGCTAGTCACCTGCGCCATAGAGCTCTTCGTGCTCTAATGCTCGTATACATCACACAAACTTCTGCCCCCACCGGGGTTCGAACCCGGGACCTCTCGAGACGGCGACACCATGAAACCCGGCGTACAAACCACTCGGCCACGGAGGTCGTCTATAACACCATTAATTTTATTTATTTATTCATAGATGGTACCAAGAGTCCCAATCTACAGGGTGTTCTCGCACTACCTTCAGAGCAAGAATAAAGACGCTATTGTCTTGTGGTGTATCACCGGCTAATTATGTACATCTAGCCGCATTGTTCATGCAGCATATGGTGGCGGAGTGCCTTCCAGCTAATTTACAGGTAGGATTATTAGTTATGGCTCAATTACACTTGGTCGTTTTAATAAATAGGGTATTTGACAAGTTTTAGAAAACGATCTCACGTTATTGGCTAATGTTAGGGCTGCCATCTCTAAAATGTGGCAACCAGGATAAGACGCGTGATAACCCCGGATTTTGAAGCCCAGAACCCGGACAGACCAATAAAAAAACAGTTAAAAATGACACAAATCAACTTTTTTATGTTGATCTAGGCAAAAGAGCTAGCGTTCTACCTCATAATAAGTGGTCACTGCTGCCCATGGACACTTGCAGCACCAAGGGCCACTCATGCGTTGCCGTAAATTTTTAAACCCGGACTACAAATAAAACCCCGCCCGGACGCTCCCCGGACGCCCCGTAAACTAGGACAAATCCGGGGAAACCCGGACGGATGGCAGCCCTAGCTAATGTTTATGGAGTCCGTAAATAGTGGATATTCATCATTCTGCTGTGTATTTCAGTAAAAATAACCAAATCAAAAACTCCATTTTTAAGTTGCCGCGAAAACGTTTTTCTGGACAATATGGCGTCTTACTAGTGTGTGACGTCACACGACTGTTATTAAAACGTCAAACGATACAATGTAATGTCACTTTAATCGGAAGTTTACTTGCGGGTGACGTTATTTTAGGCTCCGCCAATCCCAATCGTTTTGGGTCACGTGACAATAGCTAAGAAAACTTTTATCTTTTTAGTGGGTTTTTAGTAAAATTATGAATATTTTGTTTGTATAAATAGTAAAAACCCCAGCCAATATTCATTCTAAACACAGATGATAACAATTGGCACTTTATTTTTAATACTGTCAAATACTCTATTAAAGACATTACTCTAATTCCGGCACACGAAGCAATTGGTCATGCAGCATATGGTGGCGGAGTGCCTTCCAGCTAATGTACAGGTAGGATTATTAGTTATGGCTCAATTACACTTGGTCGTTAGCCCATATTAGATTAAAGACATTACTCTAATTCTTGCATCTGAAGCAATTGTTCATGTAGCATATGGTGGCAGAGTGCCTTCCAGTTAATTTACAGGTAGGAATATTAATTATGGCTCAATTACACTTGGTCGATAACCCATATTAGAATATTACTGCAATTCCGGAACCCGAAGCAATATTTACACCGCAAGACGGTGTTGGGTAAACGAAACTCGATACTCTATTCCGTTCATGTACACTTAGTCGTTTATCCGAATTCCATTGGCACTCGAATTCGGGATACCGACCAAATGTAATAGCGCAATAGGGGTTATGACGGGGTATAGTAAACGAAATTCTATTTAGTCCGTCAGTTAGATGAACAAAATATAATGGACACGTATTTTTTCTTTGGGCAATCAACCAAAAACTGACAAAGTTATAGCGCGTCAAAGTTTGGGAGTAGGGGCTCGTGACGTCACTTTTAAGTGAAAATTGTACCGAAACGTGACGTCATGCGACTTTTCAAATCAATATATTATTATATCTCTGCAATGTTTATATTATGTGAAAAAGAAAAAATACGTGTCTAATTCTTTTTGATAATCTACCTGGGGGCCAATCGCCTAACTGGATTGCTTTGGAAAACGCTATCGCTTACGATTTCATTTTGTTATTTCTAGCCCCCTGAGGTTTTCAAATGCCTCGCGCTCTTTTTTTTTCTTTTGCATTGGTAATAACAATGTTAAAGAAAATGAGCGTGAGGTATTTCGGCGGTTAGAAATAACAAAATGAAATCGTAAGCGATAGCGTTTTCCAAAGCAATCCAGTTAGGCGATTGGCCCCCTGATGAACGAAAAAAAAATTTAGTCATTATTCCTATTAGTCGTAAATTGGTTATACAGGGTGTTCAATTCAAAATTACGGGAAAGTTGATTAAGTGGGATTTATGATGTATCGAAAATACAAGGAGTTTTCAATATTCTTGACATTCATGAGTGCTTGTAACAGCCTAAACTGAATAAATGATTTTGATTATTGATTATATAATTGTGTAATGTTTATAAATTATATTATTATTTTAAGAATTAATTTAAAAATAAGCTATGGGCCAGGTATATTTTTGGTACACTTATTTTCTTCGTAAAGTATATTTTTCTCAACAAATTAGTATCGGAATTTCAAGAGAATTTTTAAATACTCGATTTACGTGTTTAATTCAACGATAATAATGTACTAAAATTTTCAAGATATCAACAGCCATATGATTTATTCGCAGGAATCAAAATTGAGTAAGCTACAGCGTAGGCTCACGTGCCCAAACTCGACGGAATCTCACCGACTCCCAATCTTTTCGGACAAAGAGACCTTTTACAAGTGAGTGGTTCTCAAATTTTATTGTTTGTGTTTTTTTTTATTTGAGAAAGAAAAAAAGGAAAAGTATTTATTGGCCATAAGTTGGTACATAAGTAGAAAAAAAAACAATGAGCAAAAACAGTATAATTAAAACAAAACAGAAAAAATACACATGAGACCGAAGAATGGCCAATCAGGAACCTGCCTCAGCTTAATGCTGTTATTGTGCACCATAACAGCGCTGGTATTCTGGCAGGGCCTGTGTAAGGACGCCAAAGGGACAAAATATTAAAGTGATTTAAAATTATATAATGGAATTAATGAAAAAACAAAATATAAATAGGTAGTTATATGCAAATATATAAAAATATTATGATGCTTAAACTATCTTACATAAATAATAAAAGTTTATTAGCATAAAATGTTAATGAAAGTTATAACAATAATAATAATAAAGTCGTAAGTCGCCATGTGGGATGTTGACTCGGCTATCATTATGCCGATAGTTATGACAGTCAATGGCCTGATAGCTAAGAGCTTCGACTGTCATCTGCGGAGGCTCGAGTTGGGTGACTGGATCAAGGGCCTGATACAGAAGGCAGTGCTCCTTGACACGGCTCGTATAGTGAGGAGGTTCCTCTCTCTGGGGCCCTAACCACCGGTAGCTAGGACCCTGTTCCCGCTGCCGGTTGGCTTCTATTTTTTATATTGAAGTTATACTTCTTTAGGCGCGTTATGAAAAATGGTCGCTTTAGCGACCAACTTCATGCGTTATTTTTGTGTTTACCGCACATTAAGAAAATCTACCAACAAAATAGAAATAGAATCTCTATTTAGTGGGTGCTAACGACTGCATTGTGAAGGCCTATCAAAAGTATTTATTAATCTGGAACAACGGAACCAAAGCGCGATTCAGGAGACTACAGCGCCATCTCTTGACCATTGGTGTAGTAGAATCAAAAACCACATCTTTATTTTTTGTAATAAAGTATCAGTTATAGGTATTCATATTTATAATATTTATCCACATGTTTCTAGTTTGTATATTCGGAATACGTGTTTGAGTTTCATACAAGTGCAAATCATATATGTTCTAATAAATTATATTCAGTAGCGATTTTAATTGAATATTTTGATTATTTATTTATTTTTTCAAATTAAAACTGAACTTTATTGACTGTGTCCTTTTCCAGACTTTTTATTAATTTATTGTAATTAATTATTTTCATGCAATTAAAAACTAATTTTAAACGATGCCAAAGAAGGATAACTTCTCACGCGCCTACATAAGTACACGCACCCATTTTTTTTTAAAATGTTTTTATTTTTATATTAATATTTAAAAATTAATCAATATGGTATACAATAAATAAAGAGAATAATAATAAATATTTCCAACACTCACACCAATTAGCCTAGCCCCAAAGTAAGCACTGTAAGGCTTGTGTTATGGGATACTAGAGTAACGGATAGAATACATATACTGTACATATATTAGTATATTTATAGAGAAATACATATTAAACATCCATGACTGGTGTCCAAATGCTCGTATTCATCACACAAACATCTGCCCCCACCGGGATTTGAACCCGGGACCTCTCGAGTCGGCGACACCATGAAACCCGGCGTATAAACCACTCGGCCACGTAGGTCGTCAATAATAGCATGCAAAATATTCTAACATATTAAAACATAAAAGTCATATTACAGTATTCTCACTTTACTTAACATTCATATATTATATTATTTTCTTATTCATTATATTATATTATTATTATTTATTTAATAACAATTTTATCATTATAGCTATTAACGGGATTGTTACCATGTACCTTGTTTTTTATGAGTCTCCGATATTTAAATCGATCTGATACTGTGAGTATTGTGTGTCGGGAACAAGTGCGAGTGAATAGTGAGAATGTGACCAGTGGTAGGGGTATCGAGCGCAGTAAAAGACGACGTCAGAGGGTAGACCGATATGTCTGCCAATAACATCTACCCGCAATTACTTCAGTTGCTCCGTGATCATGGCGCTTGCAACAGTGCCGAAATATCGGAGACTCATAAAAAACAAGGTACATGGTAACAATTCCGTTAATAGCTATAATGTTAGTGACCATGGAACTTTAAAACAATATCAATTATTTTATCATTATAATTTAAATTAAAATTTATCTCAATATATTTTGATAGAAGTATATCCAAAATAAAAATTAATCCAAAATCGACATTCATTTCAATAATCAGGACTTATTTTATCTAATAGCCAATTTTTCAATACTATTCTTAACCTGTTGTAGGGTAGTTGCTTAATATTGTCAGATACTTTATTATATATATTATAGCGGCCCGCCCTCGCTTCGCTTCGGTGTAGAGCTGAAGTGTAGACTACAGTTTTTTTGTCAGGCTTGTATTATACACAATGACATTCATCTATGATTCTTCTTATACCTGCATGCAAAATCTCAGCCCGATCGGTTTAAAATTGACAAAGTTTCATACAAACTTTCATTCCCTATTTTATCCCCTTGGGGGTAGAATTGATCAAAATCCTTTCTTAGCGGATGCCTACGTCATAACATCTACCTGCATGCCAAATTTCAGCCCGATCCGTCCAGTGGTTTGGGCTGTGCGTTGATAGATCACTATGTCAGCCAGTCACCTTTGAGTTTTATTATTATATATATGTTTATAGCCATTGCATAACCATTATTCTTGAAAGAAGTTTTGGGATTGGTGCTCAACACAAGTTTGTTTAAATTTATAAAATTTCTGCTTGTATTATCTTTAGTTGCTGGTATGGGCGACTGTTTAGTTTAACAAAATTTCCCATTTCTAATACATATGAAGAAAAGCAGTTTTCGTATTTTACTTTGTGTAAAAAATATCAATGCAGTGTCTATTCAAAAGAGGGAGTCATTAAATTGAACCGTATTTAATATACGACTTTTTTAAATTAATGTACTATCAATGATGATTGTAGACGCTTGCACTTAACCTGTCATGAGTTCCAGGGGGCAACTCGCCCATAGTCAGGACCAGGGGGCCATTCGCCTAACGTGATTGCTATGGAAAACGCCGTCGTTTACGATTCAATTATTTCTAGCCACCTGAGGTTTTCAAATGCCCCGCGCTCTTTTTTTTAATAACAATATAAAAGAAAATGAGCGTGAGGTATTTGAAAACTTTCGGCGGGCAGAAATATGTAACAAAATGAAATCGTAAGCGATAGCGTCTTCCTAAGCAATCCCTTTAGGCGAATGGCCCTAAGGGGGCAACTCGCCCGAAACTTATATTCATGGTGATTTTTTTTGGTTAGCGACAGTTTTTATGCCAACTTATATATATTATGTTTTATATTTTGACTGAACCTTGTCCATATCATTTCAATGCGTATCGTTCATAATATTGAAAATATATTATTGGAATCCATTATATTATCGGTCGGTCTTTCATTCAGTTTCATAGAAACAGCTTCATTTATCTTGTCTTTGAAATGTTTAAAATGTTTGCAGGGAGTTCATAATGTACACAGAGAACGAACCATTCAGAATACACCTGAGGGATGCGCTTTGTTCAGAGATCACTATATTGGACTCTACCCCCATAGCCACAGAGGACAGGGGAAGTTGTGAGTAATTAATCTTAATATGTACTAATATCATCATCATTATCATCCTATTAATGTCCCCACTGCTGGGGCACAGGCCTTCCCTATGGATGGAATAGGGAGATTGGGCCATGACCCACCACGCGGGCCTAGTACGGATTGGTGGGTGCTAACGACTGCAGATGCAGCCGGCACCAACTTCTTAACGTGCTCTCCGAAGCACGGAGGAGCTCGAGACAGAAGATTTTTGGTCACCCATCCAATGACCGACCACTACGAAAGTTGCTTAACTTCAACGATCGCAGCCGAACGCGCTAACCAACCTACGCCATCGAGCTCCTTACTACTAATATATAAAATATAAATAAATATTTCCAACACAGACCAATTAACCTAGCCCAAAGTAAGCACTGTAGGCTTGTGTTATGGGATACTAGAGTAACGGAGAGAATACATATACTGTACATATATAAGTATATTTATATAGAAATACATATTTAACATCCAAGTCTGGAGTATAAATGCTCGTATATCATCACACAAACATCTGCCGCCACCGGGATTCGAACCCGGGACCTCTCGAGTCGGCCACACCATGAAACCCGGCGTGCAAACCACTCGGCCACGGAGGTCGTCTAAAATAAATTCAGTACATATAACCCGTAAAAACTATTTTAGCTACTTAACACTCCTTGAAAATTAATCATTTATATGTATTTTTTCCTTCTCAGCGAATAATTCGGATATCAGTAAAGAGTATCACAGCGTAGCTAAGAAACTGGGTCTTTTATCCAAATTCCTTGGTTTTCTAACTTCGTTGCCTTACACGCACATTCCTGAGCCGAGCTCCAAGAACATAGTTGTGCCGCGAGAGGTCGCCACTCATTATATGCCGCCTAAGGAGAAGGTTCTGGAAAACAACATCGCTTTGAGGGATAATGTAAGTATCAAAGGAAACTTGACGTAAACATTTTTATGTTAAAATGGTTCTCTCTCCCTCTCTTTCTCTTTTCTCTCTCTCTCTCTCTCTCTCTATCTCTCTTATGTTAGGTACAATAGTTGTCAATAGTAGTGTAGGAAGGCCAAAGGGGAAGATCTTCCTCCGAGCTGGGTGATGGTAGCTCGGGGGCCGCGGCCCCACTGTTGTTGGTCGGGCATCGTATATATGTATAGTTATCCTCCGAATTTCTTTTGCGCGATGTAGGCTTCCATACTAATATTTATCGCAGTGCAGGTAACGCCATCTCTTGAGGATGGTGAGTAATGTTTTCCTACATCCGTTGTATATCTGTGGGGCATATAGATGACGCCGCCACAGTAGTACCACGAATGTTTGACTTCCTATGATTTTTAAGAGATTATCAAAATATTTAACAGTTTAATAGCTCTCTTGTCCAACATTTGATTAAAGGCTTTAAAAGCCCTGGGTAAGCATTACATAAATAAAGATTTTAGTCTTAAAATCGTCTCACTAAGTTATAATTTTTATTATTTTAAAGCATGTAGCTGCTTGATGTTTAAATCTAAAGAAAATATAACTAGAAAAAAATCCACGCGGACCAGGCAGCAGACGGGACTCGAACCCGCACCATAATTATTATAACTATAATTGCTATTTCTTCTTTCAAATGTTTAATACTTGTAAAAGTATTCATTTGACATTCTGGATTACCTATAATGCGAAGAGATGGCGCTGCCTTGCAGCTTAAGAATGGCTGGAAGAATTTCGACGCGGTCCGTGAGGGCCGCGGTAGCATAATTGGTCAGTGCATTCGCCCAGATTGCGAAGGGTGCGGGTTCGAGTCCCGTCTGCTGCCTAGTGCGCGTGGATTTTTTTCTAGTTACATTTTCCTTAGATTTAAATCGTTTCACTAAACTTAAATTTGAGTATAGCATGAAAACTATAATTCTTATTGACTGGCTTAGACACTAGAATTTCATATGTACAAAAAACCTACTATTTAAGCAATTTTTTTTCACAGATTCAACCATCAATCGACTTGAAAGGCATACTTTTGAGCGCTTACGAGAATTCCCGCCTAATCATCACAGTACCATGGATAGTTCACTACCTATCCATGTTGGACTACGCTTCACTAAGAACCAAATACTACAAAGAACTACTGAAGACTCTGCATCACATATACATTCACCGTTTAAAAGTGTCCCAAAGCAATTACAAGAAGAATACAGTGATATTTCTGAAAAGTGTTTTAGGGTGGCTATTCGATCTGCCACATTACCCGCAAGAAATAATCTGTGATAGTGTCAGTGTTGCAAGTGAAGTGAATTTGGACTGTTACGATGTGATTGATGAAGTGATTTTGTTCGATTTATGCCCTTATTTGAGGGATTTGAATGTGTTACTGTCTACGTGTAAAGTCAGTAGCGAACAGAAGGATATGGGCAGCTTCAGGCATATAACTCCAGTTAGTTTGAGCTTGAATACGGAAGATCGGTTGAAGAATAAGGAGAGAGAGTTGCAGGTGAGTTTAAATAATGCTGTTGTGTTTAAATCTAAAGAAAATATAACTAGAAAAAATTCCACGCGGACCAGGCAGCAGACGGGACTCGAACCCGCACCCTTCGCAATCCGGGCGAATGCACTGACCAATTATGCTACCGCGGCCCTCACGGACCGCGTCGAAATTCTTTCTAGCTATTCTTAAGCTGCAAGGCAGCGCCATCTCTTCGCATTATAGGTAAACCCACAATGTCAAATGAATACTTTTACAAGTATTAAACATTTGAAAGAAGAAATAGCAATTATAGTTATAATTTTTATTATTTTTAAAGCATGTAACTGCTTGATGTTTAAATCTAAAGAAAATATAACTAGAAAAAATTCCACGCGGACCAGGCAGCAGACGGGACTCGAACCCGCACCCTTCGCAATCCGGGCGAATGCACTGACCAATTATGCTACCGCGGCCCTCACGGACCATGTCGAAATTCTTTCTAGCTATTCTTAAGCTGCAAGGCAAATTATAATGCTGTTGTGTGTCGGGATGGGGTTTGAAATATGAATCTCAAGCCGACAGCTCAGTAGGGCTGCCGCTCGCGATCAGGCCATAAGATTGTTTATAATAATTCATCCAGTTGTTGCTTCTGTCTAATTTCTTGTAGTAGAGGAAACTGAAGTGAACAAGGTCTGTCATTTTCAGATTTTTATTAGTATTTTATCCACCCATTTTTTCTCACTAAAATCTCGAAATAGAAATTAGACAGAAGCAACAACTGGATCAATTATTGTAAACAATCTTATGGCCTGATCGCGCGCGACAGCCCTACTGAGCTGCCAGCTTGAGATTCATGTTCGAAATTATATGCCAGTTCACGCTTGACAGTTCTTTATTCACCACACAGTTTACCCAGTTAAATCACAATGTTAATCACAATACACTCGCTAAACACTGTACTTGACTATACAAGTCTTTAGACAATGGCACTTGAACACTTAACTTGCACTTTGATCGCTTTTGTATTCGTTCCGAAATCGCTGTTGAAACTCAACTGTGTCTGCGCGGCGCCGATCGCGCTTATATACACCAATCGACGCATTCTAGAAAAGTTCAGTTAAATTGAGTGTTAACTAGCACCTGCGAGTGCGTAGTACCTACTTATACCTACGCAGATAACGCGCATAAGTTGTAAACAAGCGCAGATGTCGTTGCACTTTCACCCTTACGCTGCCCTGAATAAGGCACATATTATCATGAACCGCACTACTCATCCAATGTTGCGATCATTCCCGTCGCGACCCGCGGTGTTCTGGTAAAATCTGTCTCTAGTATTTTTGCGGTTTTGGTTGAAGAAGAGAAGAAGAATTATTTTAAAACGTCTTGGGTGAATTCGGTTTTTGAGAATTCCGTAGGAAAATAACATTTTTCCGGGATAAAAATTTTCCTATGTTGTCCAACCCTACAACGTCACAATTCACTAACTGTACCTCTTTATATAATAGCATAGATATAGATTGTGCTAAGAAACGCGCGCCTTGCAAAAGGCAATTCCAATCTGCTATTTTTTTATTAATATTCCCCATAGATCTTTAAATGTCTCATCTACGTTGTTATTATTTAAGTAAACATTCCTAAACTTTGTTAAATCAGTTTTTTACATTTTCTTGTCATAATTTTTATATCATTTACATTTGTAATGGAAAGTGACGTCATAAGTTTTCTCATTTTGAAGTCATTTTTCAATTTAACGACTCTGTATGTAATACAGGGAGAGAAAAAACAGCCCTTGCTGAGTTTCTTGCCGGTTCTTCTCAGGACAAGGTCTTCCGCCGTAGATTTGCGAACCGATGGCGTAGCTTTTCGACATTCACAAGTGCTTGTAATAGCCTAGACTGAATAAACGATATTGAAGTTTTGAATTTCAAATGTATTTAAAGAAAATATAACTAGAAAAAAATCCACGCGGACAAGGCAGCAGAAGGGACTCGAACCCGCACCCTTCGCAATCCGGGCGAATGCACTGACCAATTATGCTGCCGCGGCCCTCACGGACAGCGTCGAAATTCCTCTAGCTATCCTTAATCTGCAAGGCAGCGCCACCTCTTCGCATTATAGGTAACCCACAATGTCAAATGAATACTTTTACAAGTATTAAACCTTGCAGCTTAAGGATGGCTAGAGGAAATTCGACTCGGTCCGTGAGAGCCGCGGTAGCATAATTGGTCAGTGCATTCGCCCGGATTGCGAAGGGTGCGGGTTCGAGTCCCGTCTGCTGCCTGGTCCGCGTGGATTTTTTTCTAGTTATATTTTCTTTAGATTTAAACATCAAGCAGTTACATGCTTTAAAAAATTAAAAAATATAACTATTCATATGTATTTGTTCATTATTTTTATATAATAGGCCCGTCTGGAAGAAGAAATGCTCAAAAGTCAGCCATCATCGACCCGTAGAGTAGTAGAAATGGTTACGGAACGAGTCGCAGCGGCCACAGTACGAGAGTTGACGGTTACTCTCGGCACAGCCAGAGATGAGGCGCGGGTTAAAGCCGCGGGGCTAGTTAGAGAACGGGGGCATTTGGGACACGTGAGTATATTGTAATTTATTTAATTATTTATTTAGAATAGAATAGAATAATTATTTATTGCAAAACTGTTACATTTAGTGATATTGCTAGATGTTAGTGTACACAATTGAAATAAACAGTTACCCTAATCGGGCATGCAATAGTCATTTTTACAAAACATTATTATTAAAATATTCATTTGGATTATAAAATGCATTATACAGGGTGGTCCAACTAGTGACGTCGACAATTTTTTTTAGATTCCTCGCACCTGGGGGTATCTGAAAATACCCCATGTGTGTTCCGCGATTTTTCTTAGTTTTCGAGTTATAATTTATTTTGTGTATTTTAAATGATTTCTGCCAGCGAGGTTTCAAAAATTCTTATCTTTTTTCGTAGTAGGTATTGCAATAATTTCGGTTTCACTACTAAGATTTAAAACAACATTCAAGACAATTATGCCACAAAAAAAAAAGACTGCAAAATACATACTATTTTCGGATACCCCCAGGTGCGAGGAATCTAAAAAAAAATTGTTGACGTCACTAGTTGGACCACCCTGTATATTAACCATTGCTTCAGGGACCTTACAAACGTATATTTAGGAAGTGACCGCAGATAAGGCGGTAAATTATTGTATATTCGTATGGCAGACATATAAGTACTTGTTTCAAAAATTGCTGAATTTAATTGTTTGTTTTTGGGTCGAGTCGCCCCTTTATTTATATATAAAAACAAAACCACCATTCCTTTTCTTTTTTACTCAGACTTCCTTCCTTGAAGCGGTAATCATTAAGTCTGTTTAAGGACCAAAAACTCCTCAAAATATGCTCATTTTTTAATATAGCATATTAATATTGACGACCGTGGTCGAGTGGTTTGTACGCCGTGTTTCATGATGTCGCCGCGACTCGAGAGGTCCCGGGTTCGAATCCCGGTGGCGCCAGTTGTTTGTGTGATGAATACGAGCATTTGTACTCCAGTCATGGATGTTGAATATGTGTTTCTATATAAATATACTCATACATGTACAATATATATATTCTAAACGTTACCCTAGTATCCCATAACACAAGCCTTACAGTGCTTACTTTGGGGCTAGGCTAATTGGTGTGTTGTGAAAAAATTAAAAAATAATATAGTTGATTAGGGATTTATGGACTAAAAAGCAAATTTATTTTCTTATTTAAACAGACTGTGCTACTCCAATCCCTACAATCTCTATACAATGAGCAATTGCAACACTTGCGCTCGACCGCTATCGACACTTGTAAGACTACAATGAGTCGTCGGATCGGGTCAGCGCTGCAAGCGCTGCTGCCGTCGGCGCCGGCGCCGCTGCACGCGCTGGCGCTCAACCACTGCGCGAGGCGACTCGCGAGATGGGTGGCCGACCACTGGACTAGCTCTGGTGAGTACTCGTAGGACCGCAATGTGGAGTCGGATCGGGTCAGCGCTCAATCACTGCGCGAGGCGACTCGCGAGATGGGTGGCCGACCACTGGACTAGCTCTGGTGAGTACTCGTAGGACCGCAATGTCGCGTCGGATCGGGTCAGCGCTCAATCACTGCGCGAGGCGACTCGCGAGATGGGTGGCCGACCACTGGACTAGCTCTGGTGAGTACTCGTAGGACCGCAATGTGGAGTCGGATCGGGTCAGCGCTCAATCACTGCGCGAGGCGACTCGCGAGATGGGTGGCCGACCACTGGACTAGCTCTGGTGAGTACTCGTAGGACCGCAATGTGGAGTCGGATCGGGTCAGCGCTCAATCACTGCGCGAGGCGACTCGCGAGATGGGTGGCCGACCACTGGACTAGCTCTGGTGAGTACTCGTAGGACCGCAATGTCGCGTCGGATCGGGTCAGCGCTCAATCACTGCGCGAGGCGACTCGCGAGATGGGTGGCCGACCACTGGACTAGCTCTGGTGAGTACTCGTAGGACCGCAATGTGGAGTCGGATCGGGTCAGCGCTCAATCACTGCGCGAGGCGACTCGCGAGATGGGTGGCCGACCACTGGACTAGCTCTGGTGAGTACTCGTAGGACCGCAATGTGGAGTCGGATCGGGTCAGCGCTCAATCACTGCGCGAGGCGACTCGCGAGATGGGTGGCCGACCACTGGACTAGCTCTGGTGAGTACTCGTAGGACCGCAATGTGGAGTCGGATCGGGTCAGCGCTCAATCACTGCGCGAGGCGACTCGCGAGATGGGTGGCCGACCACTGGACTAGCTCTGGTGAGTACTCGTAGGACCGCAATGTCGCGTCGGATCGGGTCAGCGCTCAATCACTGCGCGAGGCGACTCGCGAGATGGGTGGCCGACCACTGGACTAGCTCTGGTGAGTACTCGTAGGACCGCAATGTGGAGTCGGATCGGGTCAGCGCTCAATCACTGCGCGAGGCGACTCGCGAGATGGGTGGCCGACCACTGGACTAGCTCTGGTGAGTACTCGTAGGACCGCAATGTGGAGTCGGATCGGGTCAGCGCTCAATCACTGCGCGAGGCGACTCGCGAGATGGGTGGCCGACCACTGGACTAGCTCTGGTGAGTACTCGTAGGACCGCAATGTCGCGTCGGATCGGGTCAGCGCTCAATCACTGCGCGAGGCGACTCGCGAGATGGGTGGCCGACCACTGGACTAGCTCTGGTGAGTACTCGTAGGACCGCAATGTGGAGTCGGATCGGGTCAGCGCTCAATCACTGCGCGAGGCGACTCGCGAGATGGGTGGCCGACCACTGGACTAGCTCTGGTGAGTACTCGTAGGACCGCAATGTGGAGTCGGATCGGGTCAGCGCTCAATCACTGCGCGAGGCGACTCGCGAGATGGGTGGCCGACCACTGGACTAGCTCTGGTGAGTACTCGTAGGACCGCAATGTGGAGTCGGATCGGGTCAGCGCTCAATCACTGCGCGAGGCGACTCGCGAGATGGGTGGCCGACCACTGGACTAGCTCTGGTGAGTACTCGTAGGACCGCAATGTCGCGTCGGATCGGGTCAGCGCTCAATCACTGCGCGAGGCGACTCGCGAGATGGGTGGCCGACCACTGGACTAGCTCTGGTGAGTTTCAACTACACTCGAAACCGGATATAACGACATTGAAGGGACCATATAATTTCGGACGTTATGCCCGATAATTGATAGATAGATAGATAATGCGTTTATTTCTATATTTTCGTATATTGCATGTCGTAATCGCCTATAATTAAAGTTCCACTAATAAAGTGTCTTACTATAAATGTATAAATGTGAAATGTCTAAGTGTAACTTTGTTGGATAAAACAATCAAACAAATAAAACTGTGTATAGCAATTCCGTTAGAGCGATTGACCCCCTGGGGGCTATTCGCCTAAGGGAAATGCTTTGGAAAACGCTAACACTTACGATTTCATTTTGTTATTTCTACCGCCAGAGGTTTTCAAATACCTCGCGCTCTTTTTTTTCTTTTGCATTGGTAATAATAATATTAAAAAGAATGAGCGTGAGGTATTTGGAAACCTTCGGCGGTCAGAAAAAAAATGTGTGCGTGTACTAGTGTACACACGTAAGAAGTGAAACTTCTTTATGGCCTTATTTTTTTCGAAAAATGATCTACATGCAACTTTCCAGAAATATATATATAGGCGTGCGCTAAGATTTTTCAAAAACTCACCCACTAAAGGGGTATAACTACACCTTACCTTACCTTACCTTACCTTACCTTACCTTACCTTACCTTACCTTACCTTACCTTACCTTACCTTACCTTACCTTACCTTACCTTACCTTGTGTGAAACACGAATATTTGCTGTCGATACTTTATTTTTTAAAGTTGACAGAAGAAGCAATTGTTCGGATGAGGTAAATAGTGCTCTTTTTAAAATAAGATGGCGCGTAACCAAAAAACGTGACGCGTAACCGAAAAAAATGTGACGGTAAATTTTTTTCCCACGCCGATAAAGAAGTTTCACTTCAATAACAAAATGAAATCGAAAGCGTTTTCCAAAGCATTTCCGTTAGGCGAATGGCCCCCTGGACTGGACGAACTCACTTAGGGTATTTTAGATTTTTTCAAATACGAAAAAATATCATAAGTTAATTATAGCTCAGACGATAATAATTGCGTATTCCCCTCTCTCTCCTATCATCATAGCTGTCTTATGCAAGGACATTGAAGCCGAAATGAAGAATCTCCTAGCTATAGGCGAGGCTTGTCTGTCACCGAAGCCAGTGTTGTGCATAGAAGCTGTTACAGCACCGCAGCAAGAATTCGACGCGAATAATATTAGTCCGACGAGTTGTATCATCAATTTGAAGGTAATTGTTGTTAGAATAGAATTAATTTTCATAATAGTATAGAATAGGGTATTTGACTGTATCTATATATATAAAACTCAAAGGTGACTGACTGACATAGTGATCTATCAACGCACAGCACAAACCACTGGACGGATCGGACTGAAATTTGGCATGCAGGTAGATGTTATGACGTAGGCATCCGCTAAGAAAGGATTTTGACCAATTCTATCCCCAAGGGGATAAAATAGGGAATGAAAGTTTGTATGAAACTTAGTCAATTTTAAACTGATCGGGCTGAGACTTTGCATGCAGGTATAAGAAGAATCAGATGAATGTCATTGTGTATAATACAAGCCTGAGAACAAAAACTGTAGTCTACACTTCAGCTCTACACCGAAGCGAGGGCGGGCCGCTAGTTAAAATTAAAATGCCAATTGTTAGCATCTGTGTTTAGAATGATTATTGGCAGGGGTGTTTACTATTTTTACAAAGAAAAATATTCATAATTTTACTAAATACCCACGAAAAAGATAATAGTTTTCTTATCTATTGTCACGTGAACCAAAACGCTTGGGATTGGCGGAGCCTTAAATGACGTCACACGCAAGTAAACTTCCGGTTAAAGTGACATTACATTGTATTGTTTGACGTTTTAATAACAGTCGTGTGACGTCACACACTAGTAATACGCCATATTGTCCAGAGAAACGTTTTCGCGGCAAATTGAAAATGGAGTTTTTGATTTGGTTATTTTTACTGAAATACACAACAGAATGATGAATATCCACCCCGGACGGACTCCATAAATATTAGTCAATAACGTGAGATCGTTTTCTAAAACTTGTCAAATACCCTATTAATTTATACATAAACATAGGTACAATAGTGATGTTACATTAAAAGTATTAGTCCTGTCTATGTTTCACCATTTTGGTAGATGAATTTATGTAGGTGTAGATTTATATATTATTACAATTAATTAAATTTTTATAATAACAGGAATTGTAAATAAACAATTCCTGTTATTATGAACATTTAAAAAAAACAAGTATCAAATTAAGAATGTTGAAGAAACAAAAATAATATTAAAAAATAATTATTTAAAAAAAAATGTTTTTTTTTTCACTGTGAATTTTAAGTTACTTGAGAAACTAGTTTGATAGCTAATTCAGACGAGTTGGGTTAATTTTAGCAAAAAAAAATCTTTATTAAAATTTTCGAAAAAGTTTTCCTCTGAGTAACACACTGAGTGTCTAATTTTTAAGCATTTAACTGCTAGATGTTTAAATCTAAAGAAAAAATCCACGCGGTCCAGGCAGCAGACGGGACTCGGACACGCACTCTTCTTGCAGCCTAAGAAATACTAGAGAAAATTCGACAAGGACAATCAGGGCCGCGGTAGCATAATAGTCAGTGCATCCGCCCGGACAGCAAAGTCTGCGGGTTTGAGCCCCGTGTGCTGCCTGGTCCGCGTGGATTTTTTTCTGATATTTTTTTCTTTATATATTGTTTTTCCCCCTCATTTGGTCTCTAGGAACAGATATGCCAACTCCTGGATGATGAAGAGCCGTCAGATCTGATGACCACACTGACTTCATGTGCTCTGTGTTGTTCTCCAAATAATGTGTTCGGGAGACCACCGACTCAACGAGCTATATTGCAGTTGAGTGTAGACTTGTGCATTGTGTATGGTGAGTTAAACACAAATAATTCTAAATAATAATAATAAAATTAAAATAAAATAAAGTAAAAAAAAAGTAAAGTAAAATAAAGATAAAATAAAAAATATCCTAAAATAATAATAGGAAATCTTATTTATTTAGAACGAAAAGTGTATACCATAACATAATATATACAAATGACAATAAATTATAATTTATTGAAGTTATACTTCTTTAGACGCGTTATGGAAAAATGATGAGAGTGAAAAAATAAAATAAATAAATTAATTTTAAATTTACGCGCGTGCTAGAATTTTCATTAATTATTAATTTTATAAACACTTTGAAAGTTATATAAAGTAATAAAAAGCAAATGGAATGGATAATAAAACTGTTCAATAGACTCAGATTTCTTTATTTTATAAGGGATATAACTACCTTCAATATTATTAAATGTTTTAAAGTACACTATTTATTGATTATTTAAATACCAAAACAAAGTATAAAATCTTTACTCGCAAACAACTAACCTCTTATTTTAATTTATAAGATTACAGAAGTAATTTCTATAGTCAATGGCAAAAGTATATTATTATATTATGACTTATAATATTAAACAATAATATAATTCCGATAAAAGTTATAAACAACAATAGGAAAATTATTGTAATTTAAATTCAAACTATCATATTTATTCCGCAGTGAGCAGAAAACCTCAAGAAGCAAATGAGGAATTCCTCAACGCTCTCCACATAATATGGAATACTTGCTGTCCAGACCGGAAACGGAACGAGCCCGAAGAGTTATCTCTCCCTGAACGGAGAGCGGAACTCTCACCTGAGTTCAGAAACTTCGAAGAAGACGATGACCGGGCTCAAACACCAATATCAGACGATGAAAATGGTGCTTGCAAAATAGTGAATATAAAGATAATCAGTGATTTTAAAGTGGTCAATGACAAAAGTGTTAATGACAGTGCAATTAGTGATAGAAACATTACTAATGTCGAAGAACATAGCGATGAAAACTTAGAATTCTTTAACCGAGTGCTGTGTCCGAGGAATATTGTGTTGCTTAGTTCATCTAAGTGTAAACAAAGTGATGTATGGGAGTCTCTAGCTACTGTCCTGGTATTTTTATTGAAAAATGATTATTTGAGCGAAGATTCGCTCACCGAGCAATGCTTAGCGGTCTACAGACAGGATTGGCCACAGGTAATAAGCGTTATTTGTAGAAAACTTTACTAGAAAAAATTCCACGCGAAGCGCGTAGCAGACGGGACTCGAACCCGCACCCTCCCCTATCCGGGCGGATGCACTGACCATTATGCTACCGCGGCCTTAATGGCCGTATCGAATTTACTCTTGCATTTCTTAGGCTGCAAGGCAGCGCCATCTCTTCGCATTGTAGATAACCCACAATGTCAAATGAATATATTAAGTTTTAAACATTTGAAAGAAAAAATAGCAATAATAGTTATATTTTAAATATCTATTACTGAAAAATGTTATTCTCTTGTTCGCAGAACATTCTAGAAAACCTGTCGAATTGCATGAAATCCGTGTCATCACGATGGTCTCGATCGTCTACCGGTAAGTTTACGTTGTTTTTGGACTTCCTGGCAGAATACTGCGGCGATATGGACTATGAGCCGATGGATTGAAGTTTCGCGTTCGGATTGAATCTCCGCGTTTGGATTGAATCGCCAATTTCTCATTTAAGTGCTATTTTTGATCGAAGTGCTGCTTTTGGATTGAAGCTATGTAGTTGGATCGAAGCGTTGCATATGGATTGAAGCACCACACTCGTATTAAACATAGTACTAAATTTGGATTAAAACATTAAATTGGATAGAAGCGCTACATTTTCAAAAGAAATCATGTAGTTGGATCGAAGCACTGCATGTGGATTGAAAGACTACATTCGTATCGTCTTATGAAACTTGGATTGAAGTGCTAAAAGGATTTTGTATAGAAGTATTGGATATGAAATGAAGCGCCACAAGTTTAATGAAAGCCCATACTTTGAATTGTTATAAATAGTGAATCGTCTAAATTAACTTCAATAACAAACAGATAATAAACTGCAAAAAATCTGTATTCTGGTCATATTTTATTGGACAAGTCAAGCTGAATTTTTGCTTATATTTATTTATACTTTACAGCTTATTTATAATATCGAGTTGTTCCTACTTCAATTGCAAATAAATTAATCATTATTACTTTGTTTTACCATATTTAGTAGGTAGAAGTTTTCTGCAAATAATGCAAGGCAAGTATTGTTTACGCTTACGACGGCTCATAGTATATGGCGCTATGCTTTTTATACAACTTTTACTTGGATTGAAATGAGCACGATGGATTGAATTACACTTCCAGATATCTCTTTCGGCGCCCTTATGTTATATATAAGTTTCACCGGTCTGTAGCAAAAATATAATTAAGTTAGGTTGAGCAATAATAATATGTTTTCAAAAACACACGAAAATGATGGTAAGTTAATCAGCTTCATAACTGTGTAAATAAATATATTATTAATATAATATATATATATATATATACTAGCTGACCCAGCGAACTTCGTACCGCCCTAAAAAAATAGGGGTTGTCCAGCGGACAAAATTGTGAATCTAAACCATTCTCAGATCCCCTTGAACACACACAAAAAATTTCATCAAAATCGGTCCAGTCGTTTAAGAGAAGTTCAGTGACATACACACTCACAGAAGAATTATATATATAAAGATATTTATTTCAAACAATATGTAACAAAGTCTCATATTATACATAATACATTAGTTAACTATTTATTATTATTGATTTATTAAATTAAAATAAAATTATTTCTGAACATTCACTAAAAATCAAAATTGAATTGCATGCAAATCAAAATTGTAAAGCTTTTTGCGGAATGTCACATTTATTTTTAGCTAGGGACCGTCATAACCATTTAGGGCTGAAACTTAAAATGCTAAATGGGCCGATAGATGTGTCTGGAAGTATTCATCACATCCGCATTTAAATATTTCACGTGTGTGAAGCATAATAATATAGATGGATGGGATTGAAGTTTGCAAAAAATATTATTGGTTTGAAATTAAAATATATACTTGTACAAATATATATTTGATATGATAGCAAATACATTAATCTATATCAAAGCGTGTTTCATTTAAAAAAGAAAACAATTTGTTAACGTACATAACTGAGAGGCTTTAATGATTTTTTTTCTTAAAAATACCGAAATTGTTTTGAATATGCTAGATATATTTCCAATTATTTAAACATATACATTTTATAGTTTTAGGTGAAGTAGAGATATTGACAAATAAATGAACCGTCAAACACCACTTGAAGATGTCTTATTATTACATATTTATATCCGTAATAGGTAAATTATTATCATATACATATTTAATATAAATTATATTACAACTTTTAATAATGTGAGTAGGGTCATTTTTTTTTTAAAAAATTCTGTTTAAAAAATTAAATAAAATTGTACGACAATCGTGCCCGTTTTTCATTGTGGTGTAAAAAATTCCAATTTTTCGTGGTTAAAAAAAAACAATAAACGTCAATAAATAAATAAAGTTTCGTGCATTATCCCGTTTAAACTAGTTTTATTTAATAAATTTGTCTTTAATAAAAAAACGCTAAAGTAAAAGTATTACTTATTGATTAAATAAGAACAAGAAATTTTTTAGATTTAAAAACCTTGCAAGTAAATACTTAAAAAATAAAAATATAACAATCTATTAACTTATTAAAACATTAACATTATATTTAATAAAACACTATTACTTTTTTATATATTGATATACATATATTTGACATTCAGAAGAATCTCTCAAAATAATCAAAGGTAAATTGAAATAACATACGTACCTATCTACAACTCATTTAGTTAAATTCAAATACAAAAATTGGCCCCTTCATTTAGTAAAGACATGAGTAAAGTCAAAATGTATAATGCTTGTATTAAATAAAATATAAAAATAAACAAATTTAAAATTGGGTGGTATGGATCAAGTACTTCAGTAGGTCTTCTTTACAAGAAATGTAGGTCTAACGTTAATATTAATAAAATCTCATGCTTACAAACGTAAGCAAAACGCTGCTATATTACTGAAGCGATAAAATTAATCTTAAAGTAAATAAATCTTGGATATTTATACTTGTGTTATATATAGTCGTCACGAGAATAAGTAAATTATGTAGACATAAACATCTTCTACCAAATACGTCTATAATATGCGACAAAAACTTCGAAAATTTCACTGGGAAAATTAATGTACTATAACTAGACATTGGGAGGCGCTAGTTAAAATCCAATCTAGTCCACGACATTAAAAAATAAACAGACGATAATCTAAATACAATTTATAACGCAATATGTCCTAATAAGTTACGTCCTAATGCACGCGCGTTATAAATTGTAAAATTATTTTTGACATCGCAATATTTTAATTTGATTGAGGAGCTCGATGGCGCAAGTGCTTAGCGCGTTCGACTGCGATCGTTGAAGTTAAGTCACTTTTGCAGTGGTCGGTCATTGGATGGGTGACCAAAAATTGACTATCTCGAGCTCCTCCGTGCTTCGGAAGGCACGTTAAGCCGTTGGTCCCGGCTGCATCTGCAGTCGTTACGACTGGGTGGATGTTAACACCCATCAATCCGCACTGGGCCCGCATGGTGGGTCAAGGCCCAATCTCCCTATTCCATTCATAGGGAAGGCCTGTGCCCCAGCAGTGAGGACATTAATAGGCTGATGATGATGATGATATTTTAATTAAATTACACAGTAATTAAATAGTACACAATGAAATAGTACTAATTTATTTAATTAAAATATTGCGATGTCCAAAATAATTTTGTATTACGTTTTTCATTGAATTGAAATGTTGCAAACCCTTTAAGGTTATCTTATTAATTCACAGTTACTCGTGACGATGACTTTATCTTTGAATCTTCATAAAAATATGAATTTTACATAATATCTTCGTCGGTAAATAAATAAAGGGAAATATTTAAATGAGCCTCAAAAATAAATACAAAAATTATCACCAAAAATACAATTTGTAACCTAAAGGTTAGATTAGGTTACAATTTGTATTTTTTTAGAGGATCAATTACTATTTTCGTGGTGATCATTTAAATATGTACCTAAATAAATACCTATTAGAAAAATGCATGTAGATATGTAAGTACTGTATCTAATACTCTTACTGTTTATAATAAAATGCTACTTAACTACTCTTCATTAGCTATGTTTTGGGTTAAAAATAACGAAACGCATTTTTAAACAGTTAATTTTTTAGAGTATCCTAAATAAAAATGCTGTATTTTTTTTAACAGTATCTTAGCACGAACCAATATAACTTTGTGTCGGAAACTTGAACAGCAGCGCCACAACGAACTTGACGAGAACTAAAGATCAGTACACGTTTGACGTGTACAATAGATCGAATTCAACTATTCCAATTCGATATTGGTTCGTGCTAAGGGTACAGTATTCGTATCGTTTGCGAGTCCGAAATGTCATTGTCAAATGTTTACTAATTTTTAGTTCTCATTACGTACATTGTGCCGCTGCTGTTCAAGTTTCCATACAAAATTTGACTTGACGTTTCGGTTTACAAACTATTCGAATTCGATAACGGTTCGTGCTAAGGGTACAGTATCCCAATCACGAACTTCGACAGATCAGAGGCGCAAGCGCATATTTTGACAGTTCCGTAATAGTATAGTTATTGTCAAATTTTGTATGGAAGGAGTCAGTTTGTTCTTACGTCCGATAGAGGGCGATGCTTTGTTTTCATAGAAACATTGATGATGCGATACGATACGGAGCTGTCAACGTTCTTGTTTGGACCTCCGTAATCGTATCGTATTTGATGAGGACACGAACGTTTAAGTCGCGGCACGAAACTCTAGCGCTAACCGTTATTGCGTGCCCGTAAAAATGAAGATGTGTTTGGGGGAATCTCCCTGGGGGGGATTGTCTCTCCAGTCGTACCTATGCGCAGCTATTCCTCCAGCGTGAAGTTCAGCGCTAGAGTTATGTTCCGCGACCTGTACCCTCAGTACGAGTTTGAGCTCACGAAAACTATCATAGTTTTCGTAATTGTAAATTATGTTTCTATGTCCATTTTGGTCAAAAGTAACCAAATATTCTTAAAATTTAAGAAGACGCAAACGATTTAATGTTAGAATTTAAACACTGTATTTGTATTGAAACGAAAACAATAAAATCAGTACCGTTAGTACGAGTGCGAGCTCACGAAAACTATCATAGTTTTCGTAATTGTAAAACTCGTACTAAGGGTACTGTATAATTTGTCGCTAGTTGTCCGTGCTTGGGGTACTGTATTAATAAAATTATTCGTACTATCTTTGTACATATTTCCAATAATTTGTAAAACGAAACGTAAAATAGCACGATTGCATTTGCTAAGTTAAAAATTTTTGGCTGTGATTTACAAAATTGTATAAAAGAAACAATAATTTGTCATTTAATAGTCTAGCCTTTGATTATAAACACGCCTAGATACCATTTTAACTGCATGGAAGCGGCACAAAAAATATCTACTATGTATGGTAGATACGCTCGTCGCTACACACGCACACATTGTAAACAATCCGACATTAGAGTCATGCACACATTTCAAAAAATCTGACATTAGAGTCACACACACATTTCTAACAATCTGACATCAGAGTCATGCATGCACACATTTCAATCAATCTGACATCAGAGTCATGCACACATTTCAAACAATCTCACATTAGAGTCACGTAAACATTTCAAACAATCTAATATTAGAATCACGCACACATAAAAATACGCGTAAAATGAGCCATGTCCTTTGCGTAGTTTATTTGGATATTGCCTTATCTAGACGTGTTTATAATCAAAAAGTCTTATCAGCTAACATAATGTTTTTTAAAGAAAATATAACTAGAAAAAAACTAGAAAAAATTTCTAGTTATATTTTCTTTAGATTTAAACATCAAGCAGTTACATGCTTTAAAAATAATAAAAATTATAACTATAATTGCTATTTCTTCTTTCAAATGTTTAATACTTGTAAAAGTATTCATTTGACATTGTGGGTTTACCTATAATGCGAAGAGATGGCGCTGCCTTGCAGCTTAAGAATAGCTAGAAAGAATTTCGACGCGGTCCGTGAGGGCCGCGGTAGCATAATTGGTCAGTGCATTCGCCCGGATTGCGAAGGGTGCGGGTTCGAGTCCCGTCTGCTGCCTGGTCCGCGTGGATTTTTTTTCTAGTTATATTTTCTTTAGATTTAAACATCAAGCAGTTACATGCTTTAAAAATAATAAAAATTATAACTATAATGTTTTTTGTTAAATTAAAATAATAATTAGCGTTAATTTTAAAACGGATGTCTTGTAAGTGTCTTTTTTCTCGAAGTTAAAACTCCTTTTTACCTACAACGTTGTTTTTGTGGTTGTATGTAACATAGTTTCATTAATGTTTACCAATTTATGCACGATCGATGGCCACAATAATGATGATGACGGCTTAAATTAAACGATATTCTATTCAGTCCGTCAGTCTATCAAAAAATGAGTGTTCACGGAGTACACGTCTGAAGTGAAACTTCTTTTCTTAAATAACCTAACCTAACCTAACATTAGGCGGTACATAAGGTATAGGGGAATGGAGCAGCGCACGCATCACTCATATATACTTATATAAATATATATTGTTGCGTATGGCACTCGTGAGCATTCGCCGAGTTACCCTCCAACTTTCATGCTCGTCAGCAAGAGCTGCGCACGCATCCCAAACATACACACACACAAACATATATATAATATATACTAGCTGACCCAGCGAACTTCGTATCGCCATAAAAATATGGGTAGATAGTGTAGTAGGTAGATAGGGTAGTATGTAAAATTTAGAGCTGTATGTATTTTTAATGCCTCATCATAAAAAAAATCAAAATGTAAAAAATGTTAGGGGTGTACAAACCTTATCACTTAGGGGTATGAAAATCAGATAGTTGCCGATTGTCAGACCTAGTGAATCTAATATATAAAATTCTCGTGTCGCGGTGTTTGTGGTTAAACTCCTCCGAAACGGCTTTCCCGATTCTCATGAAATTTTGTGTGCATATTGGGTAGGTCTGAGAATCGGACAATATCTATTTTTCATCCCCCTAAATGTAAAGGGTAATCCACCCCTAATTTTTTTTTAATTTTAGATTTTATTTTTTTGTTTTTTTTTATAATACTTCATAGTAAAATACATACAACCCTAAATTTTCACCCTTCTACCACCAACCTCTATTTTTTTATGGCGGTACGAAGTTCGCTGGGACAGCTAGTATGCATATAAAGTTTTATAAAAATCCGTCAAGCTGTTTTGGAGGAGTATGGTAACTTACATTGTGACACGAGAATTTTATATAATATATATATATATATATAGAGAGAGAGAGAGTCATGTGACGCTCGTGGCTTATTTCCGTTTTATCTTTTCCATAGGATTTTTTCATTTACACCCCGTCCCAAAAGAAGTTTTACTTCAAAATGTTTATGGCCACGTCATGAATGGGAACGTACTGTCGAATCTCACGCTTTTGGTGACAAATCACGCACGTACAAAAACGATTTACACATTCACATTCATTTTATTCATTATAGTATGTTAACTATCAGCCAAATTATAAATAAACGCAAACTGCCATGAATAATATTATATTATATTGCCTTTTAAACATAAATTATTATTGTATTACACTTTTATGAAAAAAATTGTTTTTTAGGTTAATATTTGTATACATGTTGTATATTGTGTTACGTTGTATGTACGTTAGGTGAATTGTAGCTGCCTTATGTTGTATTTGTTTTATGTGAAATATATTGAATATAATACAAAAATCGTATTTTTGGGTATTGTTGTGTTTTTTATATTACCTATAAAATACCTACTACGCTAGTGAACGACGTCATGGGCATTAGATACTTTTTATTGTAAAAAAACTTTTGCTATACGCGTATTTTTACCGCTTTTATGCGCCTTAAAACATGGAAATTCTGACTATTTAGCTCATCATCAGCCTATTAATGTCCCCATTGCTGGGGCCCAGGCCTTTCCAATGGATAGAATAGGTAGGTTGGCCCATAACCCACCACGCGGGCCCAGTGCAGATTGGTGGGTGCTAGCAACTGCAGATACAGCCGGGACCAACGGCTTAACGTGCCTTCCGAAGCACGGAGGAACTCGAGATAGAAGATTTTTGGTCACCCATCCGATGACCGACTACTGTGAAAGTTGCTTAACTTCAACGATCGCAGCTGAACGCGCTAACCACCTGCGCCATCGCGATCCTCATGTATCTCCGTTTTGTGAAATAAAAAACAAAAATTATGAACATACGTCACAAATCTTTATTTCAGCGTCCTATAGAGCCGATTTTCAATTCCCGAATAAAACTTATCTGCTAAATAAATTATTACCCAATCAACAATAAATATTATGTTAAAAATATATATTAAATACCTACTATCAACATAGCACTTTATCTTCTTTTAATATCGACATCGGAGGTCCAAATACGATTTTTTACAGCTCCGCAATCGTTTCGTCATCGTCAAATCGTGTATGGAAGGAGTTAGTTTGTCCTACGTCCGATAGGGGCGCTGTTTATGGTAGAGGAGCTCAAACGAGGATTTTTAGATTACCTAGCGGCAGAATAACATAGCGGCCAAAAAAAAACAACAATCGGCCGTTTCTTTTGGCCGCGTCCAAATCGTCAGTCTTTTGAATAGGAGCTAGCGGAGAGTTCACGTAACATCCCTTCTCAATGTTTGACGCGCTTGAATATTTTCCCCCTATATTTTAAGCAGCATTTTTGCTGGCCGGCAAGGTGAGGGTGGTTGGTATGGCAATTTGTAACTGTTGTACCAGCTTTTTTCGCGTTTGGACTTTATCACCACTTAACATCAGGTGGGGTAGAGTCATTTGCCTACCTTAATATACACACATCAAAAGTGTCTAGGGATCAACATATACTTTTGCAATAACTTTTCTCCTGATTGATATTAATTAAAATTTTCTTTAAGGATTCATCAAATAAAGTGTTTTCGTTTGTCACAGTAACGATAAACCAAGTCACCTTTGCATTAATAAAGAAATTTGCCATTTTCCTAATAAAGGGATTTTTGACATTTGAACCACTAACACAAAAGTTCGAAAAAAAGACTGAAATAACAGTTTTCTCTAAAATTTTATTGGGTAACTTAAACAATTAATAATCCGTATTTCTACCGCGAACACTAACAACACAAGAACATCGGTTTGGCATACTCAAAATGAGTTCATCCAAATCACGCTGTGGAATGGCCGCCCATGTTCGTTGCAACAACAAAAAAAGGTCTTCTTGCGACTGGATACCCTCCATATTCGGCAGAGCTCTTCTCTGTAGCATATCCCATGCATGCTCAATCGGGTTCAAGTCTGGCGACTGAGCAGGCCAGGGCAGGACATTGATGTTAGCTGCGGCGAGAGTCTGTCTTACAACTCTTGCGGTGTGCGGTCGTGCATTATCATGCATTAACTGAAATAAGGGACCGATTTGCACTTGTAGAGGAACGATGACGTCTGATACAATCGTCTCAGCATAAATTTGAGCGTTGAGGTTGCCTCTGATCCAAATCAACTCAGTTCTTCCGCCGATCCAAATACCCGCCCATACCATGATGGTTCCACCACTATAAGGATGGACTTCCTGGCAGGATTTTAATCGCTGTTGGCGTCCAGGGGTTCTCCAGTGTCGTATACGTCTTGTATCCGGTCTCATACCAAAACGAGACTCATCAGAAAAGCACACGAAACGCCATTGTTCTTCTGCCCAATTTCTGTGTTCAAGAGCCCATTGATATCGAATCCTACGATTGTGCATTGCTATAGGTGGTACCCGTAGCGGTCTTCGGGAATGAAGGTTCACTTCATGCAAGCGGTTTCTGACTGTTTGGTCGCTAATTAAGTTCCCTGAAGAGTGATGAAGCCTCACGGCTAACATCATGGCGGTTATTGTTGGAGCTCTTCGAGTTAAGATTTGAATGTATCGGTCTTGTCTCCGTGTGGTGCAGCAATACCGTCCTCCATGGCGCTCAGCCACGGTACCAGTGCTTCGGTATCGTGTCCAAAGTCGACTGATAACACTCTGACTTGTATTCAGAGCTAAAGCCACAGTACGTTGCCGGGAACCAGCTTCTATCATTCCCACGGCTCTGAGCATTTCTTCCCTGCTTAAATGACGTCGCCGCTCCATAATAACGTTGGTTTTAATCAGTAGTAGGGAAACAGTAGCACTAATAATGTCTTCAATGCGTTGTATGTTTTTATAGGGAAAATATTGACAGCTGATTTTCATCTTTTACTCGAATTTGATTCACAGTTCCTGATTCAAATTATGAAATGCACCAAAAAGGATCCATATAAATTTATAAAATCATAAATTTATTACAAAGCCACATCTCAATCTCAAGAAATCCGCATAAAAATGCTTGATCCCTAGACACTTTTGATGTGTGTATAAACAAAAAAAATCTACCCTTTATACGGTCACCCCAACACAATGTAAACAGGCAATATTTTTTCTGTCAACAGAAATGTTACATGAACTTTCCAGTAGCTCCTCTTCAAAAGACTGACGATTTGGACGCGGCCAAATGTTTTTTTTTTTAGTTTTCATAAAAACTTTGAGGACGCAATGCGATTACGGAGCTGTCGAAATTCATGCAGGCCTCAGACAAATAATTATAGCAGAATCAACCCTTTCCACTGTATCGTTCGAAGTTGAGAGTGTTGTAAAATTGCACTCTCTCCAGTAACTTCGCGGCATCAGTCGGCGCCGGTTCGAAGGTAGTATACAGCATGTAGCAGCCGCCGCGCATTATCACATACCAGGGACCTCTGAAGTTGGACAGGTCTTGGTTAAAGGAAGCTGTGGACACGAGATATCATCATCATCATCAGCCTAATAATGTCCCCACTGCTGGGGCACAGGCCTTCCTTATGGATGGAATAGGGAGATCGGGCCATGACCCACCACAAGGGCCCAGTGCGGATTGGTGGGTGCTAACGACTGCAGATGCAGCCGGGACCACCGGCTTAACGTGCCTTCCGAAGCACGGAGGAGCTCGAGATAGTAAATTTTTGGTCACCCATCCAATGACCGACCACTGCGAAAGTTGCTTAACTTCAACGATCGCAGCCGAACGCGCTAACCACCTGCGCTATCGAGCTCCTCACACGAGATATAAGAATATATATTAGGGAAGGTAATGCCATTTCTTCAGTTTGTTTATTATCTACGACTATGTGAAATGAGATAGGTTAGTACAAATATAAACCAAAAAAAAGACGGGTTGCACTCCGGGAGTGCCGGCAGAAGTGAAAATTAACGTTGTGCATTTTTGATATTTTGGAATGGTTAGGGAATAATTTTGCACGAATTGCTTTAATTATCAGTATAAAAGTACTATCATGTACGTGGTAGAATACAATATTTATTTATTGCGCTGTCGTACACAAACATGACAATTTATATTACATTAAAAAAGTTTATCTCTCAGAAAAATCAACTTACATGAATCACATTTAACGCACCTAGCGACATCTATTCTAAAAAAAATGCATTTTCTTCGCACGGTTGCTCCTATTCCCTGCGTTTTAATTGTTTTTTTTTTCATTACAGTCTAGAATCCGTTTATTAATATTGACCAATCGATTATTATAACGTAATTACACTACGAAGTTTGGTTTTCATATAAAATTATTTGTAACACATTATCGCATTTTTAATATTAGTATAGAAGCAGACTCACCTCTTGCTGAAAAGTTAAATAAAAATGTAAGCAATAAACACCACAATTTTGGTTTATTATCTCTTTCGTACTATAGCACGAACCAATATCGAATTCGAATAGTTTGCGAGTGCGAAATGTCATTGTCAAATTTTGTATGGAAACTTAAACAGCAGTAGCGCCACAATGGACGTTGCGAGAATTAAAAATCAATACACATTTGACAGTGACATTTCGTACTCGCAAACGTTACGAATTCGATATTGGTTCATGCTTAGGGTACCGAATCCCAAACACGAATTTCGATAGCTCCGCAATCTATCGCATCGTCAGAGTTTTAGGAAAACATAGCAGCCCCCCCCCCCCCCTCCACGTAAATACAAACTGGCTCCTTCCAGAATTGTCAAAATTCGTGCTCTCTCGGGTGGATTCAAATAAAAAAAAAGTGTGCCAAAAGCATTAAATATATAAATAAATATTTCCGACACTCACACCAATTAGCCTAGCCCCAAAGTAAGCACTATAAGGCTTGTGTTATGGGATACTAGGGTAACGGATAGAATACATATACTGTACATATATAACTATATTTATATAGAAATACATATTAAACATCCATGACTGGAGTACAAATGCTCGTATTCATCACACAAACATCTGCCCCCATCGGGATTTGAATCCAGGACCTCTCGAGTCGGAGACACCATGAAACCCGGCGTACAAACCACTCGGCCACGGAGCTCGTCAAAATTAATTGATGGTTCCATATTTCTCCAGGAATATACATAGATAGTTTTTGAAGTGAAACTTTACACACGCTTGACTTGGGGGGTATGCTGGCGAATGCGTTACGCGTTACGAAAAGTGTGTACGGGCGAAGCGAACGTGAGTTGAGTGGGGGATATAAGCAAAAGAAAGCAGTGCGCGCTCACATTTTCTTTATCTGTTTCTCTTATAGCTAGTAAATAAAATATGTAAAAATATGTACATACAAGTATAGATGGAGCTAAAGAAGTTTCACCTCAGTCGTGCGGTCATGAACACACTCGTTTTTTATTTTATAGACTAGCGGCCCGCCCTCGCTTCGCTTCGGTGTAGAGCTGAAGTGTAGACTACAATTTTTGTTCTCAGGCTTGTATTATACACAATGACATTCATCTATGATTCTTCTTATACCTGCATGCAAAGTCTCAGCCCGATCGGTTTAAAATTGACAAAGTTTCATACAAACTTTCATTCCCTATTTTATCCCCTTGGGGGTAGAATTGATCAAAATCCTTTCTTAGCGCTTGCCTACGTCATAACATCTACCTGCATGCCAAATTTCAGCCCGATCCGTCCAGTGGTTTGGGCTGTGCGTTGATAGATCACTATGTCGGTCAGTCACCTTTGAGTTTTATATATATACTCGTAGATAGGGTGAAAAATATGTGTGTTATTCTGTTATTAGGAAGGTCGACATCAAAGCAAACATCATACGCATAAAAGGAGATACAGGTAATTTGCTGCGACTTGTACGTACTAAAAAACTGTCTATCCATTACCATTTTCGCCGTCGACCACAACGTTGTCGTAAAACAGTTAATAGCACTGATGGCGCATAGGTCTGCCCACACAACACAGAAAGAGGTAAGAAGGGTGGGTGATTACAGAACATTTCTACGGGAACCGATGTCGCCGGCTCGCCCCCACTGCACTCCCATCTAATAGATTTTAAATAGCCAATCAAACGACGCGACATCAAAAAATCGAACCAATCAGTGCTCACAACCGAGAACAACAACGCAATCAGAACCAAGTTTTGGTCAAGTAATGAGCATTTGTTCACACATAACTGTGGCGCGCCTGCCCCACTCACAAGGCCCTTCGAACCCTTGTTTGTTTACAGATGTGTGCGTGTGTGAGAGTTGCTTATGTAGTTGACTCGGATCATATTTTATTTGATGCTGATATTAGCGTACCGTATCTTCCCTTTATGTTTTAATCTTAGTATCTGACATCATATAAACTTACTAGTGGCGTGGTATATGCAGTTTTCGTCAATCATATCGCAAAAGTCGTCGAATTCCTTGTACTCGTAGGAGAACGCGTTGAACCTCTGCGCGCAGACTCTTCCGTAGCTGTGAACGTACAAAAAGAAACCATGTGCGTGCCCTCCGAGGAGGGCACAGTGCAAAACGTAGGCATCGTGTAAAAAAAAATGTTTATTGGAGTTTACTCCTTAAGAATCGATTTGCATATATAAGGGGCCCGGTATGAGAAAAATGTGAGGAGTAAAATCTATCGATGAATGACCCCGTTACGTTTTTGTTGCGCATCCTATGTCGCGCAACTTTGACAAAACAAAGATGACGGATTGACATGTGCCTTATTTTAGTTACCATAAACCACTTGTCAATGTAATTAATAATGCAGACAATGTTGATTTAATTAATATTTAAAAAAATATAATAGTCTGATAATAATAATTACTTAATTTATCAACATTCCTAATGATATATTTATGCACATCTGAAATTGACTATTGTAAAAAGTTTAATGTAAAATATTTCGTCGATTAGTTATAATATATATTTATACTAGCTGACCCAGCGAACTTCGTACCGCCCTAAAAAAATAGGGGTCGTCCAGCGGACAAAATTGTGAATCTAAACCATTCTCAGATCCCCTTGAACACACACAAAAAATTTCATCAAAATCGGTCCAGTCGTTTAAGAGAAGTTCAGTGACATACACACTCACAGAAGAATTATATATATAAAGATATGTATATTATTTTCATTAATTTGTTAATTTACCCTTTCATACAGTATCAATCTTTTTTAAGTTCAATAAACTCTTTTTGCGTCTGGTTAGACTATCGAACTTAAGGAGTAAACTCCAGTCGTGCGTCGGAGCTGACACACACATTTTTTTCTCTTTTACTTAACCTATTATTATGTAATAACATTGTTGGTGCGCTCCTTTTAAGTATAGCTATACCTGTAGCAGGAGGCACGCTCTTCAATCACCGTTACAAGAAGAATTTACATCAAACTAAAACTATAGATGTAGGGAGGGTAAATTTGTGTGTTTGTGTGTGTGTGCATGTGCACGTGTGTGTATGTTCATGGTGTGTGATGTACTTTGTGTGTGTATATGAATGTAGAGTATTTATGTTTTTGTGTAAATGTTTCCATGCCTTAGAAAGTGGAAAAACAGTTTCACTTAAAAAGTTAGATAAAGACCTGCGGGTAATGCAAGCAACGTCGTTGGTACTGCAGGACGCAACAGGTGCTTCAGAAAGTCTTTTGGATTTCTTTTCCATGTGATGCTTGTGTGGATTTCGCTACCTTTATTTAACAAGACCATAGTGGCTATCAGGAGCGTATTTACCCTAGGCCAATGGCGGCAGGCTGTGAGGGAAGGCAGAAGCCATAGAAAATGACCCATAATTTTATTGTTTCTACTACCTAATTCTAAATCGTAAATAGCCCAGCTTTCAAAATACGCCCCTAGCAAGGGCGGATCCAGGGGGGGGGGTCATGGGGGTCATGACCCCTCCCTGGGCTGGGTCCATCTGTACCCACTTTACAATCTGTACCCACTGTGACTTGACCACGACTATATGACCCCTCCACCCTGGCGCCAAAGCTGGATCCGCCCTTGGCCCCTAGTCGTGGTTATCACAGAACACTGAAAGAGGTTAGAATCGAGGTGATCATAGACCGTTTAAACGGGAACCGATGTCGCCGGCTCGCCCCCACTTCCACCTAATAGATAATAAGCCAATCAAACGACGCGACATCAAACAATCCAACCAATTAGCGCTCACACCCGACAGCAACGACGCAATCAGAACGAAGTTCTGAGCAGACCCGTCTTTCCCATTGGGCACTTTGGGCAAGTGCCCAGGGCACCGCGATCGATAGGGGGCCCCCTCAGATCAAATACAAAGTTCCTGTTCAATCACGAAACGGAAGTCATAGGGGCCCCGTTATCCTAATATGCCCAGGGCCTCCAATAGGTCAAAGACGGCACTGGTTCTGAGCTTTTGCTTACACATAATTGTGGCGCGCCTGCCCCGACTACGAGGCTCTCTTCTTCGAATCTCTTTCTAGGTTTTGTGGGGTTCCCCTACTATTAGGTTAGGTTAATATTATTTTGAAGTACACACTCACTTCTCGAAGATATCGGAGCACGGATGTTGGCAAGCATAATTGATGAACTCTGTATCTGCCGAAATAATATTATCTTCAGCCTTATTTTGATTTGAGAAGTGGCGTTTCTCTGAAGGATCGCATCAGAAATGAGGTAATCCGACAGAGAACCAGAGTTATCGACATAGCCCACCGGATTAGCAAGTTGAAGTGGCAGTGGGCTGGCCATATTTGTCGAAAAACCGATAACCGTTGGGGTAGACGAGTTCTGGAGTGGAGACCGTGTCTAGGCAAACGTAGTGTACGACGTCCTCAGGCGCGATGGAGTGACGATTTGCGCAAGGTGGCTGGCAGGAGCTGGATGCCCAAGATCGATCTGAGTGGCGTGCAATTGGACAGGACTATGTCCTGCAGTGGACTAGGATAGGCTGTTGATGATGATGATGATGTTGAGGAGTTCCATGGCGCAAGTGATCATCGTTCGGCTGCGATTGTTAAAGTTTAGCAACTTTCGCAGTGGTCGGTCATTGGATGAGTGACCAAAATTTATTGTCTCGAGCTCCTCCATGCTTCGGAAGACACGTTAAGCCGTTGGTTACTGCAGTCGTTAGCACCCACCGATCCGCACGGGGCCCGTGTGGTGGGTCATGGCCCAATCTCCCTATTCCATCCATAAGGAAGGCCTGTGCCCCAGCAGTGAGGACATTAATAGGCTGATGATGATGATAATGAAGTGGTGAATATAAATTTTGTAAGTAGGCAGGTATATACTCTTGATATAGGTACGTGTGCAAGGTTTCCTTCGGTTTTTAGGGTTCTGTTGTCCTGACAAGGAACCCTTATAGTTTCGTCATGTTCGTCTGTCTGTCCATCCCCATTTTGTTTGGAGACTGTTAGCACTAGAGTGCTGTAATTTTGTGGAGATGTGTATATCAATCACGCTGACAAAATGGTAGAATAAAATATATTTTCAAGGGTAGCTGCCCTACATGTAACCTTTTTTTTGAGTCTGGGAAATGCCTTACACATCCTTCAACCACCGGGGGAGCGAGGAGAAGGTATGTGGGACTCCTCCCTGCTCATTTCAGCCAGCCCTTGGGCCGAATAAAATGGCCTACATGTAACCTGGAGATTATTTTATCTATAGAAAAGGCCTGTACCCCAGCAATGAGGACATTAGTAGACTGATAGAAATAAGTACTAATCTCACAGGTTGTCAAGTTCTGGGCGATCGTGGTGGTCTCCTGGTTGTATGGTGGCGTAGTGGATGTGCTCTCGGTTCTTGAGAACGTCGTCGTGGGCATCGGCTTAGGGGTCCTCAGCTTTATATACGGCCTGATAGTCCTGTCAGTATAATACAAGACATTTATATACGGTACGGCAAAGAGATGGTGCTGACATGCGGACAAAGAGATACTGAAGAAATTCGACACGGTTATTAGGCTTTACGTACTGGTCGTGGCACGTAACTCTAGCGCTGAACTAACCGCGTCAGGGATAGCTGCGCATGGGTACGATAGGAGAGACAATCGGCGCAACGAACGCCCACCCGCGCACTTCGGTTCCCCCCAACGCATCTTAATCTTTACTTCTGCGCAATAACGGTCAGCGCTAGAGTTTCGTGCCGCGACTTATAGCACAGCACAGTTAGAATTTAATTGTGCAAGTTGTGATTTCGGTGTTTGGTTGTGAGTGATACTGGTGTCGATTTGAGCATGATTCTCTAAACCTAAACTTAAATTTGACAACAGTGTATCTTTGTCATTCTCTACACAGAATGAAAAGGAGAGACTGATGTTAAGTTTAGTTTTAAGTTTAGAGAATCACGCCAGAATTGGCACCAATGTATCCTTGACATTCTCTACACAGAATGAAAAGGAGAGGCTGATGTTAAATTTAGTTTCAAGTTTAGAGAATCACACCAGAATTGGCACCAATGTCGCTTTGTCAAGATATACTTAAAACCAAAGAGTATACCATAACACCAAGTGAATGATGTAAGCACAATTGTTTTCTCAGATTCAGAGAATTTCGTACTAAAAATAAAAATTGGTATTGGACCAAAGGTACATAATGTTGCATCTCTTTCTGCCTTCTAGGCAGAGACGGATTATCCTTAAGGCAAACTAGGCATGTGCCTAGGGGCGCGAGGGTGCATAGGGGTGCGCGGGCGGAATTGTAAATTAAAGAAAAAATATATAATATAGCATGAAATTAATTGGGACAGTAAGTAAGTCACCTACTTATAAAATAAAAACTATTATTTTTGCTTAGAACCTCAATTTGCTACAATTTATAACAAAAGATAAAGGAGATTGCTCAGCTTCCATACATGTTTGGCCTAAAGACCAATAATCATGAAAAATTGTTTCCTAGATTCGAAATTATATATAAATTACTGTAGAAACGAATATTATTGACGGACACACCTGAGAATTTCTATAAACCATATACACTGAACATATTAAAATAATAAAAAACAAATAAGTTATATAGTAAACTAGGGAAATCAAGCCAAGTACCGAAATTATGGATTAGATTCAGGTATATAGAGCATGTAGATTAACAGGTAGTTGCCTGTTTTTAAAGTTAATGAATAAGAGTAACTTTTAAAATCAGGTGTCATTTCTGGTTATAATAAGGTACTCTGTGACAGAAACTGTGTGATGATTGTGAATGAGCCACAGATTAGAGAGAATTTTTAAACTCTCGTTAACCAAAGAAAGCCAAGAGATGTAAGTAGGTTCTATAGCCGTATATTCAGTAGCTTCATTATTTTTGTTATGTTTTTAAGATAAACTTATTTTAGATTTTTAGTGTAGCACACCTTATAATTTTATTTATTTACTAGCAAACCCGGCGAACTCCGTTTCGCCACCAGATGGCTTCGTTTTATGTAACATTTCGTTTGGTGATTAAAAGAAGTTTTTTTTTTAATTTTTCCTGAATTTTCTTTGCTATAAACCTCACGGAGCCCGAGACCTTTCCAACGAATGCAAAACCGTGGAAATCGGTTCGTGCGTTCTGGAGTTATAGCGTCAGGAAGGAAAACCCGACTTATTTTTATATAGTAGATTAATTTATAGTCAGGGAACGTAGGCCCATAGATAGATACCTTAAAGTCTAACATTATATACAGATTATAATGTGTTTATGGAGGTGTTTGTCGAAAAATGTATGGCAATAGACTTTATGATGTCGCCTACCATCTATAATATTTGTCTGAGCACATTTGCATTTAGTGAAAATGATAATATAGTTGTGGATATTAATACCACAGTGTTATAAAAAAAATTTTTTTTTTATCGATCTTTACAAAATAGATTTGTTCTTATGTTATATAAACAACTTCGATCAGTCTTTGGCTGAATGTTACTACACCCATAGCCATTAAAAATGATTCGTATGTTTTCCAAACCGGTAAAATTAAAAGTCCTTTTTAAAGTAAATATATTATACAAAGGTGTCCGTTGAAATCTAATGACTGTAAATTAAGATAAGATAAGATAAAAACTCTTTATTGCACAACACAGTAACAAAACAAGCAGATACAAAACAAGTAGAAAAATACAACATTGCACAAAGGGCGGTCTTATCGCTAATGAGCGATTTCTTCCAGACAACCCAATGAACTGGAAATAAAATAAGGTAAGCGAGTAAGGGAGGTTGTGCGGAGCACAAGGCAAAAGTTTTTCTGATAATTAGATTGGACGAAGACGAAAAGGGGGAAAAAATTAAAAAGGAAAATATAATACAATAAGATAAATTTAAATATATAGGTAAACATAAAATACTCAGATACTTCACAATGCTACCGAAACCGGTAAGTTCTAATGCAAGATTTATGAAAAATTAAGTTCCTCCGACAAAAAGTGTTCCCTAACTAGACTTAAAACAGTCTAAAGTTTGGGCACGCCTTATCTTTTCGGGCAGGGAATTCCAGAGTTGGATAGCATGTACTGTAAAAGAATGGCTATACGCCCTGGAAAAGTTAGGAGGAGTGAAAAGAAGAAGATTGTTAGATGAACGAAGTGGAAGATTATGGGAAGAAGAAAGAAACTGAAAACGTTCTTTGAGGTAAACAGGAGCTTTTGGATTGAACAGTGCTGAGAAAAGTAGGGATAATACATGTAGATCGCGGCGACGACGAATGGGAAGCCACTTTAATTTTTGCCTGTAGTAAGAAACATGATCGTACTTACGCAAACCATATATGAACCTAATGGAAAAATTTTGCAGTCGTTCCAGTTTACTAAAAAGATCAAAGGTAAGATAAGAATAACAAACATCTGCATAATCAAGAATTGGTAGAAGAAGGGAAGTTGCAAGAGAAATTTTGGTGGCAGTAGGCAAAAAGTTACGCAAACGCCGCAAAGATCCGGCTGCAGCGAAAGTTCGTCTACTAACTTCAGCAACCTGATGACACCAAGATAGGGTTCTATCAAATATTACCCCTAAATTCCGAACTGTATCAGAAAATGGGATAACAGTTCCATTCAAAGTAACTGATGGCAGTTGCTTAAAGTCCGTTCGTGATATGAAGTTAGGACTACCAATAATTATGCACTGCGTTTTTGTCGGATTAATTGTTAGTCCAAATGAGTGGCTCCATTCTGTTATAAGAGCTAAGTCAGAATTTAGAATATTAATGGCACTGTTCAAATTTTCTAATCGAGCCTGTGTGTAAATCTGGAGATCGTCTGCATACAGATGACAGGTAGAAGTTAAGTTAAGAGTAATGGAATTGATGAAGATAGCAAAAAGCAAAGGAGATAGCACACCGCCCTGAGGAACACCGGCTGTGAGTGTACACCATTGAGAGAAGGATTCACCAACAACTACACGCTGCCGGCGTCCATGTAGATAACTAAGAAACCAGTCAATGACCGCAGGAGATATGTTAAGGGAACATAGCAAACTCAACAGGATTTCAAAGTCAACATTATTGAAGGCATTACTAAAGTCTAGTAACGTTAAAGCTGTAAGTTGCTGATTCTCCATGCCAAAGCGAATATCATCGGTGATCTTGACAAGTGCACTAGCTGTGCTATGGCCAGGACGGAAACCAGATTGTATAGGATTTAGTAAGTTATTCACACGAAGGTATTCACTGATTTGATTGTGTATAAGACGCTCAAGAACTTTTGAAAGGAAAGGTAGGATGGAAATAGGACGGAAATCAGACATACAATCAGGATTGGATTTTTTGGGAAGTGGAATGACTTGAGCATCTTTCCAAATTTTTGGAAAATTGCTAGAGGAAATGGATTGGTTAAAAATTTGGGTGATAACTGGAGATAGAATATCAAGTAAAGGAATGATCATGTTACGGCCAATATTGTCATTGCCTACCGCTTTGGAATCAATGGCACGAATGCTCCTCTCAACATCACTATCGGAAAATTGACTAAAAGTAAAAGGAGTAAAATCTGGTGTTGGCAGAGAAGAAAGATACCTTAAAGTTTTCTCTTTGACATGACTGTCAAGAGAAGACGATACAGAGAAATGACCATTCAGGCGATTGATTTCTATGTTTTGAGACAAGTTGACATTTCGAGATTTGCCAACACCGAGAGACCTTAAGAACTTCCAGACCTTAGCGGGATCACCGCTTTCCACGGATTTATGGATATGGCGGCGCTGTGCGTCCCTGCACACTGTATTGCAGCGATTCCTGATTCTATGATATTTATTACGGCTACTATCTGTGGGGTTGCTCTTGTATTTAGCCTTAGCATTATTCTTTTTTGCCATTAATAATTTGATGTCGTCGGTCAACCAAGGTGCAGGCAAATGCTTGATCTTTATAGGTCTATTAGGTGCATGGACGTCATAAAGCTGAATTAAAAGATCATTAAAAGCATCTACTTGTTCATCGACGGTATGTTGATTACTGACCAATCAACCTCTCTAGCATCATCGCGCAACTTGTCTACATTCATGCCACCAAAATTACGTTGCATAATGATTTTGGGCTTAGCCTTAGGAGGACGTATTTTATAGGAAACGTATATTAAATCATGATATGAGAAGGCATCTGCGGTGAATTGGCCATGTTTGGCAACATGAAAGGAAGAAGAAACAATTATTAAGTCAAGAAGAGAAGGTGTACAATTGGGAAAATAGTGAGTGGCATTAAGAGGGAGAATATGCATATTGCAGGCATTGACGAGTGACTTCAAGGCATTGGCCCGTAAATCAGATTTTAAGAGGCACGTGTTAAAATCACCCATTATAATGGAATGGCTATAGGACGGGGTCAAATCTTCTAGCAGTTTCTCAAAGGAAGAAAAGAAATTGACTCTAAGAGAAGGGCTATAGTAAACACCTAACAAAACTTTAGAATGAAAAAGAGTAACTTCAAGAAGAAGGTGTTCTGCAGTATCCTGTGGAGGGGGTTGCATAGATCGACTTATAACAGAAAAAGGAATGTGATTACGTAGATAGATAGCTACTCCGCCATGAGACGTATTAGTCCGATCGTTGCGAATAAGTTGAAAACCAGGGAGAGAGTAAGAGTTAGATTGAAGACAAGGATGAAAAAATGATTCAGAAACAAGTACTGCGTGAATGTTCTTGTCAGAAAAAGTTGCAAGGAAGTCAGGATAGTGTGCTGGAATACTCTGAGCATTAATATGAACAACATTGAAGTTTTTGGAAACGTCTGACATGACAGTCTGTAGATTATCCTTTAAAGAAGGTATACTGCAGAAGCTATCATCACTGCTCAATCCATCAGAGGAGAAAGAGAGAGACATAAAATCATTACTATTATCACTTCCGGCAGCCGGCATACTACTGCAAAATACAGAGCAAATATATACCTATAGAGTTAGATAAGTTATATATATATATATATATATATATATATATATATACCTTCGCTCTTGTTCTCAACACAACCCACCAGCAAAAAGTAACAAATAAAACATATACATTTGTCAGGAACACATTGCACAAAACAAATAACAAAATTTATACAAAACACGAATTACACACTATTCAAAACACAGACAACATATAATAACAAAATGTAAAAGCTTATTATTCATAGACAGACATAAAATATAAGAAGCTAATAGTATAGTAGTATACACAAACACAAGACATAAAGAAGCCGCTCCAGAATCGGTACCAATGTCAACCTTGACATTTGTTACACCTATGCAGAGCGTAGGTTCCGAACGCAACCCAATGCCAAAAGTAAAGTTTGACGTACAGTACAGCTGTCTAAATTGTTATGACTTTGACATTGAATTGATCGATGGTTCAACGCGACATAAAATGTTTTATTGGTTTATCGGGTATACAAATTATTAAAATATAATATTATATTAAGTGGGTAAAGTTATACGACAGAGGAAACATTACAAGAAACAGTTTACTAGATAAGCAATGCGTGTACTCACAGAAACATTGCTAATATACGACGCTGAAGTGGAGTACATTACTTCTTCACCACACGTCTCTTGGACCTATCTTGCAGTAGTGTTGGGTAGGACACGACTTGAAAAAGAGTTTGTAAGAGTAGCCTCTTTTTTGTACTGAACCAGTACAATGTCCCACTTCAAATGAGGCGAGGCGTACTGAAGCTCGGCAATACATTTGAAGTGACGAGTACAAATATGACATTGAGGCCTACAGAAGCTCGACATTACGTTTGTGTGCACGAGTAGCACCTCCTCTACGCACTATCAATATTGCTGGATCCAGCATGCAGGACAGCGCTATACACGTAAAACAGATAGAGATACAGATGGATAGTGCGTAGAGGACTTAAATGAAATGTCATGCCTCGCTCTCTCTCTCAGACTTACGAAGAGTGAGTGAGTAACGAGACGCGACTATCGCGACATTTAATGTGAAGTAGTACATTTTAAAATTTAGAGCCGCTCTTACAATTTGGCGTCATGTCCGGGACAAATGTACCGCCTCTTGTAAGTCCTACTCAACACTATCTTGCAGTTTAGAGATGGCTGAGGCCTCGGCTGGGTTGTCAGTTTTACCTTCGGCCGGGCCGTCAGTTTTATTCTCAGCTGCGGAGGACGAAGGAATGAATACCGGAATCTTGTCCATATCCATGAGACAATTCACCCGTTGTCGCTTGTTATCGGGATCCATCACATAAATGCTTCTATCTTGCGTCCAGCACCTATTGATACCGTACAGTGTGTGGCGTTCACTTGTGAGAAATTCTGATAAAGTTATACCAGTACCTTTCAGATGCTTTTTGGCAAACCAGACCTTGTTCCTTACAGATGCATCAAGGAACTTAACCAAAATAGGCCTGGCCTAATAATAAATTAAATTATAAATTACGCCAAGAATTACCGTGTATGTCAATATTTTTTGTGCATTTGGGCCAATTTGAGCAATCTCCTTTAACGGATAGGACTGACTAATACTTACGCCTACCAACAACCTTGTCGACGGTACATGATCACTGATTAAAGTTAGAAAGATACGATTGCAATGTTCGTCGCATCGACCGAATCGGTTTCGGTCTAACTATAGTACGAGTAATTTTCAATATCGAGGCGCCCGCCGATAAGACGATTGCCTACGGCGCTCTCAACCAGGGCTTGTAACCGGTTTCGAAAATACCGGTAAATAAAGGTTAATACCGATTTTGACCGGAGCGCGCGGTACCTAAAACCTTAATAAACCGGTTTAATCCAGAGCGACACGTGCACGCCTCGGCATGTTAATGCTCAGAGATTGATGCATTTATTGACACGTTTGCTAGCGTCTAGTGAGTCAAGTTATTAATTTTGTAGTTGTGTACTGACACACTACTTCACTCACTCGCTCTGTAGTTGGAATAAAACTGACATAAAATCAATATAGATTTGAATTGAAACGGCAAAAGCGATGTCGTCAGTAAGAGCAAAATGAAACCCTTTTAAAAACGCTAAATTGATTCAAATCCTGTTTGATTTCGGTTTTTAGGAAAACCGGTTTTTTTAAAGGTTGTGGTAGAGCCAAACCTAAATAAAACGCTCCTAATGTACTTGATACTGATTTAGGTTTGAAAATTAACCGGTAAACAAGCCCTGCTCTCAACGTATAATTCGCCACTGCTTGTAGGATTGCCGTACGGTCGTGATATCCCTTTTCCTCGCTCTGTCTTTAAATATTATGTCTATGCTTTTAACATTAAATAAAAATACCAACCTATAAAACACCCATTCGCCGTTGAACCAATACGGTTCGTACTTGTTCTCGTCCCTCAACAACACGCGCTTTGGGGTCCTAGACGTGCTCTTATTGGCCATTTCTTCCTGCTTATTCTTCTCTCTCATTTCCTCTAATTCCTTCTCCCTCTGCGCGAAACGCTTCCGATTGAGCATCGGAATACTGAAACATTTTTTTAAAAAAAAACGGTCCGGCAAGTGAGTTCACTGATTTTAAGTGGTGGTGGAACGTTTATTCCCAGTGGCCCCTGCGAGATTCCCAAGGGAGGCAAATGGGAATGAAATCCAATGATTTTATTCTTATTCGCCTTCGGTGCCATTGCCCGCGGGGCGACTGGGAATATACTCGGTGGAGTCATGAGCATGACGCTAAGATAGCTGGTGCAGCAGTTACTTATCACAGCAGCCATCCTCTCGCCGGCTAGCAAGGTGCTTCTTCACTTATCTTCTAAAGGACCTCGGGTTATAGGTGCGAGGGAACACGTGAGCACGCAAAGAATTCCACTCTCCATTCACGGTTTGTAAAATTAAACATTGTGGTACCACACGTGTAAATTTAGTCTAGGCTATCTCTGATGCACTTCTTAATTTTCGCTGATAGTCCAGATCCGGTTTTCCCGTCACTGATTGCCAACGAGGCCTCCACCCGTGGCCTACCCGACGTTAGCTGGTTGACAACGCGGGTCTACTAGTGTTGCCAGGTGTCCCGATTTTCAGGGGTCTGGGGATGCGTCCCGATTTGTACTTGATCGGGAAGCTAAATGCCCCGATTAATCAAAAAATGAAATTTAGGTAATTAATTTAATACTAAACTTGCAATAGTAGTTTAAAACGCAATAAATTAAAACCAGACTTAAAAATCCCTTGGTTTTTGTTTACTGTCCCGATCTGCAACCCTAAATCCCGATTTTTTTGACCTCTTGTACCGATTTAAAACATATCGGACCTGGCAACTCTAGCGTCTACCTACGTTTGCTCGTTGACTACGAGTGGACGTCGCGTAACGAGGCGGAGCCGGGTGGCTCTAATGAGCTGTGTCCTTAAGGTTCTAGGTCTCCACGTGGTAAAGGATGGGGTGAGGGTAAGCTAAGGTCCGAGTGATACGAATTTTTGATATCGCAATCGTCTACAGGCTATGGTGGCCGCTTACTTTCAGGCACGACATATGCTTGGACATAAACTTACATCTATATTACAAATGCAAACAATATCTGTATATATACAAAGTATATCTGTCTATTACCTCTTCGTGCTTAAACCACTGAACTGATTGAGACAGAAATTTAGTTATAGCAACGATATTTAATACCTTAGATACAAAAACACGAACATAATCTTGGCCGAAACCTGTGCTTTTTTCACATTTTTTTTCCACGGAGCTCTGGGGCATCTCGACTTTTCAACAGTCCGCGCGTGACTGTGAACCAAGAAGTGCTTGAGTGTTGTTCAAGCACTTCTTGGTTGGGACATATTTTCTACGATCGTGGTGTATCTACGGTTTTTAATATCGTTGAGTTATAGACATAGTTTGAGTCCCGTGAAAGGACAAACGATAGTTTTTATCCCAGAAATCATCCTTTAAGGGGGTGAAAAGAAGGGGGGAAGTTTGTATGGGAAACAAAATTTTCCATCTAATAAATCAGATATATGAAATGTTCTAGTGGGTTTTCCAATAAAGGAATCTTAACGATCAGACATATTTTATTTAGTTAATCACGGCAATTAAGACCTTTGTATTCGTTCACATCGAAATCTGAGCCTGACACAAGGAACTTAGAATATAAGTTCCTTGGCCTGACACAAGAGTAGAGAGAGCACGCCCAAACAAAAGCACGGGATGTCAAAGTGACAGTTTACCCCCAAACACATTTCGGTTTGCAAACTATTCGAATTCAATAATGGTTCGTGCTAAGGGTACTGTACTCTTAGCACGAACCAATATCGAATTCGAATAGTTTGCGAGTGCGAAAGGTCATTGTCGAATTATGTATAGAAACTTAAACAGCAGCGCCACAACGGACGTAACGAGAACTAAAAATCAGTACACATCTGACATATAAAATCAGAGGCGGCCTTACCTATTGCGAGGCTCCGGGCGGCAGGTCTTTGCGAGGCCCTTTGTCCTTCGTGAAAAGTATGTGATGCGAAAGTAGGTCTGGTTGTTTGGTTTAGGTATTTGTCATGTTTAAGGAAAAATGCTTAAATTATACAAATAAATCAAATTTGAATTTTAAAATATTTTACATTGAAAGATTCACAAAATTAACAAATACAGAGATGATAAATTTTAAAATTGAGGTATGCGGCTTTTTCTAAGAGTAAAATCTTTAATTAAAGCACAATAATCTAACGAATAAGCTGCGTCATTTTCGATTGAAAGAATAGCGAGAGCCGATCTTGTGTCATTGAAAAAATAGTTTTTTTTTTATATTTTTAAAATTTGCTTGGGTTGTTGCGCGAGGCCCCGTGTAGGAGCGAGGCCCCGGGCGATTGCCCTGTTCGCCACCCCCTAAGACCGCCACTGTATAAAATAGATCGAATTCAACTACATGACTGGATGAAGGAACATTTATTATTATTTATATTTTTTAAACATTTAACTACTAGATGCTTTAACGTAAAAAAAAATTACATAAGAATTTAAATGAACGTACTCGAGGACAGAAGGCGATGGCAATTGTGTTGTGAACAATGCACCCGCAGTGTAATATGATGAAGGAGTTTCTTTAGCAGTTGGTAGCCTTTCCGCTGTAACAAAGTCAGGCGATGATGGTATTTCGTCGAAACTCTCATATCCGACTGCAAACAAACAGAGTAGTCCAAGATTTTTAGATGTCCGCTCTGCATAAAATCCTTCTACGTTATTTTTCGATTGGATTATGTCGGAGGGTGCCCCCCAAGTATAAAACCGAGTTTCTGTCGCCCGAAACTGCGAGCGTTAGCCGCCATCTTGGAAACCGTTTTTTTGCATATATCTCGGAAACGGTAAGTTTTACGTTAAAAACCGAAGAGATCTTTTTTGTAGAGAACAAAATTTCCCATCTTTTTTATACCAAACTTTTCCCCCTATTGTTGATATTTTCCGATATATTGAAAAAAACCAAATTTTTTGTTTTTGTAAAGTAACTCAATAATTTTTGGAGATACGAAAAAAATGTTTGAATTAAAGTTGGAGAGCATGAAATTTTCTACAAATTTTGTATAAAACTTTTTCTTGCAAAATGATTAGTTGCTGAGTTCTAGCGCAATAAAAGATCATGAAAATCAGCGGTAAGTGGCAATACGTTACTCTCGCATGCAAACAAAAAGTATAAGTAAATTCGATGTCTCCGCATCCAATCCAGGCCATCCATGGATTCAATCCATATTGGATTCAGGCCGGGGCGAAAATTATGGCTGGACCGGTACCATAGGCCGCATGATTTATCTTCGAGACTGGACTATCCACTTCCCTTTCCTTCAGTTAAAGATATCGCATGAAAGTACTTTTTAAAACCGCTGTACAGGGGGCCATTCGCCTAATGGAAATGCTTTGGAAAAGGCTAACGCTTACGATTTCATTTTGTTATTTCTAGCCGCCTGAGGGATTCAAATGCCTCGCGCTCTTTTTTTCTTTTGCATTGGTAATAAAAATATTAAAAAAAAAATGAGCGTGAGGTATTTGAAAACCTTCGGCGGTCAGAAATAACAAAATAAAATCGAAAGCGTTAGCGTTTTCCAAAGCATTTCCGTTAGGCGAATGGCCCCCTGGTCGCGACACGTAACTCTAGCGCTGAACAAAACTCGTTAGGGATAGCTGCGCATCAGTCTCGTGCGCGCGCGCCTAGCGAATAGTCACCGTGCGACAATGTCCGTAAATAATACGATTAAGTGTGCAAATTGCAATGTTGTGATATCGGAAGTGCTCTCATTTATTCGTAGTAGACATGACGTTATGGATAATGAAAGTTTAATCAGTATATGTGTTTCTGCATTTTCTGAGGAAGAGATCAACGAAGCCAAGAATTTGTTGTTTACGTCGGTAAAGACGAATCGCAAAATGATATCCAGAAGAAAAGACAAAAAACAGAAAGACTTGGAAGACGTGATAACGGTATTTAAAACAACTGATCCTGATCAGCTGCCTGTATTTGTTGCGTATCATTTACACAAATTACCGCCTATAAGTTTCGATCACGTAGATGTTACAAAATTGCTGAGGGATATACTGGTTTTACGGAATGAAATAGAGAGTATAAAGAAGGATTATGTGACCAAAGAATATCTAAATTCATCCGTGCAAAATTTACCAAATCCGTTATTTAATCTTAATGTGAATAAAATAAGGGGAGGAGGGTACGCAAACATGGACAGCGGGCCGTTCGGTTTGTCACCGTTATCTACGGAGGTTGAGGCACTGAGCGACACAGTGTCACACAGTGGCGGCGACAGCGCACCGAAATATCGCTCTCTCGTTCGCACCAGCACGTGTGACCTAGCTGTGGAAACAGGCGATACGACTGCACCTGTCAACACAACTGTGTTGGAAAACAAAGTTAAATCAGCTGATTGTTCACCAGTAAAGCAATTACCAAAAATATCAATGGCCGCAGTACTAAAACAAGGCGAATGGCCAAAAGTGAAAAATAAGGCTGATGATGATTGGACACTGGTTCAAAGAATAAGGTACAAGAATCGCTTGGACGGAAAAACGGGAACAGCTATCACTTCCAGTACGGGAAATTTTAAAGCGGCGGATACAAAAATACCGCTTTTTATATCAAATGTAAATAAAGATACTACTAAGGAAGACATTTGCAATTATATTCTTAAAATGACAAATGAAACAGTTCAACTCGAGAAAATTAATATGAAATCAGAAAGGCCCTACAATGCTTTTAAATTGTTTGTGACAAAACATAAAATTAGTGCGTTCTTAGATGACAAGCTGTGGCCGGAAGGCATACGTTTTCGTCGCTTCGTTTATTTCAAAACGAATAAAGAAAGGGAAAATTCCCAGGTAAGAAGTGAAGAAAATCCTAACACTAATGGATAATAGCTACACGAATGTAACTTTTTCATCCTTCAATTGCAAAAACATTGTTCGTTCTTTGGACTGCGTAAGGAAGATATGTGGTGTTTCTGACATTGTCGCTTTGCAGGAGACTTGGCTTCTACCCCACGACGTGCCGTACCTTGGAAGCATCGATAAGGACTTTGCGTACACGGGAAAATCTGCCGTTGATATTTCTGCAGGCGTTCTCAAAGGGAGACCATACGGCGGTGTTGCGTTATTGTGGAGAAAATCGGTGTTTCGTTCGGTTTCTGTTATCTCTTGCCACAGCGATCGTGTAACGTGTGTGAAGATAGAACAAGAGAATCGCTCATTGTTAATTTTTAACGTGTATATGCCTACTGACAGTGCAGATAATCTCATGGAATATACGGAGTGTCTAAGTGAAATTATCTCAATAATTGAGAGCAGTGGTGTAGAAAGCGTTTTTATATTAGGGGATTTCAATACTCATCCTGATACCAGATTTGCGAGTGAGTTACTTACAGTTTGTACTGAACAGTTATGGTGTTGGGTTGATAAAGAACTGTTACCGGAGGATACATATACGTTTACAAGTTCGGCTAATGGTTCTCGTAGATGGTTAGATCACTGTGTAGTGACTAGTGCGGCTAGACCCTTAGTTGTCAATGCCGCTGTGCTGTATGACGTTTACTGGTCTGATCATATGCCTTTGTTACTGGAGTGCAATATTAATTTAATAAAACCTAGGGCTATGCCTCCATCTGTTAGCGGTAGTAATAGGGTGTTGTGGGGTGATAGAAACTCCCAACAAATGCAACAATATTTTGATTATTGTAACTTAAACTTGCGCAAAATTGATTTTCCTTCCGAATTTTGTAATTGTGCTGACAGTATGTGTAAGAAAACGGAACACTTTTTATTGTTAGACTCTATGTATAGAGATATTGGTGTCAATTCTAGCATGATTCTCTAAACCTAAACTTAAATTTGACAGCAGTATATCCTTGTCATTCTCTATACAGAATGAAAAGGAGAGACTGATTTTAAATTTAATTTTAAGTTTAGAGAATCACGCCAGAATTGGCACCATTGTATGCGTTCTTAAAGAAGCCTCGGAAAAATCATATATTAATAAGAAAAACAATTGTAAACGTAGGAAATATATCCCAGGTTGGAACAAGTACGTTCGCGATGCTCACTGTGAGGCGCGTTTACATTACAAGAACTGGATATTATATGGCAAACCGTGTTCTGGCTATATATATGACAAAATGTGTACGTCTAGAAGTTACTTTAAATATAAATTAAAGCTTTTACAGGATAAGCAACAGCAATTAAAAATGGATAACATAGCTCAGTGCCACTCAGATAAAAATTTTAGTAAATTCTGGAAAACTACAAAATCACTCAGCTGTAAATCGGGTCTACCAGTGAGCGTGGCGGGTGTGCATGGGTCAGCGGACATTGCCAATGCATTCAGTAGCCATTTTAAGATTGAGCCTTCTGTAATTGAAGAATTAGAATTAATAAACTACCAGCCTAAGTGTGCCGTATCAGCGCCAATTACATTTTCCGCTAAGAAAGTGGCGAGTGTAATAAAAGAAATGACGAGAGGAAAGTCTCCCGGTTTTGATTGTCTGACTATTGAACACCTAAAGTATGCTGGAGTTCATTTGCCGCGTGTACTTGCAATGTTTTATACATTATGTTTGAGTCATAGTTATTTACCGGCAGATCTCATTAGAACAGTTGTAGTACCTATCATAAAAACGAAATCAGGGGATATTTCAGATATTTCTAATTATAGACCAATATCGCTTGCTACAATTATCGCGAAAGTTCTGGACGGTCTATTGGACAATATATTGGCTGATAACATAGAGTTGCATGATAACCAATTTGGTTTTAGGCCCGGTTTATCAACCGAAAGTGCTGTGCTATGTCTTAAACAAACTGTTAATTATTATACGACCAGAAAAACACCAATAATTGCTTGTTTTTTGGATCTGTCTAGGGCTTTTGACCTTGTAAATTACGATAAGTTATGGCAGAAGCTTTACTGTGAGACTAAGGTACCTAAAGAAGTTTTATGTTTGTTTAAATTTTGGTACAGTAACCAGATGAATACTGTAAAATGGGCAGGAACTTATTCCGATATGTATGGGCTACGTTGTGGAGTGAGGCAAGGGGGGTTGAGCTCTCCTCGCTTGTTCAATCTTTATGTGAACCAGCTGATAGGTGAGCTCAACAGCGCAAACGTTGGCTGTTACGTAGACGGTGTTTGTATAAATAACATCAGTTACGCTGATGATATGGTGCTGTTGAGCCCATCTATTAGTGGGATAAGGCGACTAATTGCTATCTGTGAGTGTTATGGACTTGCCCATGGGCTCAGGTATAACACTAGCAAAAGTGAGTGGATTCTTTTTAAGTCAGGTTCAATAAACTACACGAATCTACCTGAAATAACACTCTTTAAGAATCCACTGAAACGTGTTCAGAAATTTAAATACTTGGGCCATTGGGTCACGGAGGATTTGCACGATAATGATGATATCGAGAGGGAGCGTAGGTCGTTGGCGGTTCGCTGCAATATGCTGGCTCGCAGGTTTTCACGTTGTAGTAGGGCAGTCAAATTAACGCTTTTTAAAGCCTACTGCCAGTCGTTCTACACGTGCTGCCTGTGGGTGAGTTTCACGCGGCGGGCTTACAGCGACCTTCGAGTGCAGTATAACAATGCCTTGAGAGTGATGTTGGGGATGCCTTGGAGGTGCAGCGCGTCAAATATGTTTGTGGAAGCGCGAATAGATGGCTTTGCTGCGGTGATGAGGAAAAGGTGTGCCTCGGCGCTAACTCGCTTACGGAGCAGCTCCAACAGTATTCTCAGGGTGTTTGTTGATAGGTGGGATATGCCACTTATACAAAGATGGGTGAAGCTCCACACTTTATGTTAATTTTTATATGATTTATATTATTTATTGTTATATTTTTTTTCGATTGTACTCTTACTAACTCTAGTTTTTATAAGAATATTGTTACTAACATCTTATATGGGCTATGCCTGAAATAAATTGAATTGAATTGAATTGAAAAATTGGGCGGACTATTCGGAAACGGATACCACCACATCACTCGCACTCCCGGTGCGCACTAGGAGGGACCGCGGTCCCTCAATTTTTTTTTTTTTTTTTTTTTATATTACTAGTTAGGCAAATGACTCTACCCCACCTGATGTTAAGTGGTGATAAAGTCCAAACGCGAAGATAGCTGGTACAGCAGTTATTAACTGCTACACCAACCATCCTCACCTTGCCGGCCCGCAAAAATGCTTCTTCACGCCTCTCTTAAAGGACCCCAGATTATAGGAAGGAGGGAACACGTGCGCGGGTAAAGAATTCCACTTACGAATAGTACGACAAAGAAATGAGTCGCCAAATTTCTTTGTTCGTGTAGGAATAGTGGCCACAGTAAGTCGATGGCAACGTAGGCCAGCGCGCGTGGTCCTCTGAAGAAAAGGTGATGGAGGGATAAGCAAGAATAGCTCCTCAGAACACTCGCCGTGGTATATTCGGTAGAATGCGCTTAATGATGCCACATCACGGCGTAATTGTAGAGACTCGAGTTTCTTAGTTGCCTCTTCATCGCCAATGATGCGGGCAGCGCGCCGCTGCAACCTATCCAAGGCATCGAGTAAGTACTTTGCGGAGCCATCCCAGAGGTGCGAGCAATATTCCACGCAGGACCGCACTTGTGTTTTGTACAACAAGCACAGTTGATCGGGCGTGAAAAAACGCCGCACCTTGTTCAGGACTCCGAGTTTGCGTGAAGCTGTTTTGATCAACGTTTCGATGTAGTCCTTTGGATTCAGGTCTGAGCGAACTTCCATACCGAGCATGGTAATATTGCTCTGTAGCGCCAGTGTTGGGTAATATTGCTCTGTAGGAACACCGGCATTCACTGACATGAACTGCGAACTACATCCGTCCGTAAGGACGCGAATTCTACGCTCATGCAGGAAGTCAGCTACCCAGCCGCAGAGCTGAGCAGGCAGACCGTATGCAGGAAGCTTGGAGAGAAGGCTCTTGTGCCAGACCCTGTCAAAAGCCTTGGCGATGTCAAGGCTAATAGCCAGAGACTCTCCCCGCTTGTCTATAGCTTCACCCCAGATGTGTGTCACGTACGCTAGAAGGTCACCCGTCGATCGATTCGGCCTAAATCCGTATTGACGATCGTGAATTAGAGAGTAATCTTCTAGGTAGCGGGTCAGATGGTTGTTAAGGACCCTTTCTAAGACTTTACACAACACTGAGGTGACAGCTATCGGCCGATAGTTGGCCGGGTCTGAGCGGTCCCCTTTTTTGGGCACCGGTTGCACATTGGCGTCTCTCCAAGCTTCCGGCACACGCCCCAAAGAGTAAGAGAGTTGGTACAGTCGCGTAAGCACGGGAGACAACTCCGCTGCACAATGTTTTAGAACAACTGCTGGGATGCCATCGGGTCCACTAGCTTTCCGGACGTCGAGTGATTGCAATTCCGCACGAACATCACGCTGCCTGATTTTAATGTCAGGCATCGTAGTGCCACAATGAGGTAGTGTAGGTGGCAGTGCATTGCAATCACTGATTCGGGAGTTAGCCGCAAAGAGCTTTGCCAACAAATCGGCTTTCTCTTGCGGCTCATGAGCTAGTGACCCATCTGGACATCGCAGAGGTGGCAGCGAGGGCTGGCAAAAGTTGTGTTGCACGGCCTTAGCCAAACGCCAAAAACTTCGGGAGCCCGTAGGGTGCGTTAACAATTCGTGGCCAGTACGTGCTACACGTTGGGCATCCGCTCTGATGTAAGCCTTCTTACAAGACTTGGAAGCACTATTATAGGCAGGTTTCAATGAGTTAACCCCGGGATCCTTAAGAGCGCGGCCTCTGATCCAAGCGCGATATGCCGCCTGCTTACGAGAAACAGCATCGGCACAATCGCGATTGAACCAGCGGTTACGTGTGCCCTTACTGATGAGATCAGAATGTGGAATGTAATACTCCATTCCCATTACGATCTCCTCAGTAATGGCAACGGCACTGGATGATAGGTCCTTTTCATTGAAGCAACGCTGCTTCCAAGGGACAGACGCAAAGTAATCGCGCATACCATCCCAATCTGCCGACCCATAGTGCCAGACCCTGCGTTTGACCACCAATGGTCGAGGGGTTTTGGCCTGTGGCACCTTGACAGATATCAGGCAATGGTCTGATGAACCCAGTGGGGCTCGAACGACAATCTGATACTCCTGCGGATGGGTCGTAAGCAGAAGGTCTAGTAAAGAAGGCGCTTGACTTGCTATATCTGGGATCCTGGTGGGCTGATCAACCAGTTGTGTCAGGTCGTGCGTGAGAGCGAATGCATGGGCAGAGATCCCTGCATGGTCAGTTTTGGAAGAGCCAAGCCACAAACCGTGGTGGGCGTTAAAGTCTCCCAAAAACACCAGTTCTGCGTTGGGAAATTGCGCCTGGGCATCATCTGCTACCCTACTGAGGTGGTCAAACAGTCGAGTTGTCTCAGCGTCGCCGGTGTGAGATCTGTAGAGGCACACGTAGACTCTGGCCAAAAGACCAGAGTCTACATGTACCGCCAACATGGAAAAGGAGGGGTCTTCCAGGCAGCTCAAACGGCGACAACAAACATCCGCCCGAACATACAGGCATACGCCGGCTTTTGCTTTGAAGGATTCTTCAAGCGCGTAGCCGGGATATTTAAGGTAGCCTGTGTCAGCGGGCGGAAGTATTTGTGTCTCCGTGAGAAACAATAGTGCTGGCCGTGCTGTCTCAAGATGGTGGTGGACAGCATTGAGGTTAGAGTGGAGTCCGCGTATATTACAGAACTCAACCTCAAACAGCGCGGAAGGCGTGGGGGTGTGCACCGCTGTACAACCAAACTTTATTTTACGGGCTGCCATCATGAGAAAAAAGTTGAGAGACGTGAATCGAGTGGAGTTAGTCGCGACAAAGACAGGCAAATATATGGAGGCACGTTTTCCCGAGTAACTGCCTGCGAAAGAGATACGCCGACCCAACGGACGGAAGGGCCCCCGCACCCTCCCGGGAGTGGCCGCCGGGACCCCACGCCCCGGTCACCAACCGGCACGACGGTCCACCCCGAGATTATTCGTGACATGATAGGGCAGCCTCACGAACTGGTTAGGAACGCTCGGGCCCCTGTACTGTGCCACGGGCGGCCAGCGGGACAGCCGTTTCTACTGGCCGGTGGGTCGATGCAGTCCTCCCGGCATCGGTTCGACGGATGCCTCCACTGGACCGAATCTGTCGCGGCAATCTCCACTCGAGCTCTGGTTGTACGCTGGCTGATCCCGAAACGCGCGTGAAGCACTTCACGGGTTTTTCACCATGCGTACGGTGGTAACAAACCAGGCGGGTGTTAGGCACCCTACCACCAGGAGAGCAGATGGAAGCTCTGATATCCCTCAGTCGCTTCTTACGATACCCGCGGGAAGTGAAGGGGCGGTGAGTGGTATTCTTTCTCCGTCACCGCACGGATGACTGCTGATATGATAATGCGCGCCGGGTGACCGGTGCAGGAGTATTGTCTAGTTTTTACGGTCGCCCTTGTGGCGGTCGCCTTCTTGGCGAGGTAGGGCCCCGCTTGCTTCTCGGAGCACTTGTGTTCCCTGAAGCGGCGGAGAGGAGTCCCCGATAGCTTCGTCCGCAACCCTCGGTTGGTGAAGTATGCGTAATGCATTTTCTAGACATTAAAAAAAAAAAAAGGGATAGCTGCGTATGGGTATGACTAGAGAGCCAATCGGCGCAACGCACGCCCGCCCGCGCACCTCGTTTCCCCCCAACACATCTTTAGCTTTACGCGCGCGAAATAACGATCAGCGCTAGAGTTTCGTGCCGCGACTTATACCACTCCACCACAGAGGATGGTAATTGGTAATTCCAGCTGCTGCATTTCGCCATCGTACATCGCGACAAAAATTTCATCCCCATCATCTTGATGCGTCTATCCACAACCGTGCGGTTTTGTCGAAATTTTTTACCACGTACGACAAAACTGTGGAATATGTTGTCGCCAGCAGTGTTTCCGGACCGATACGACCCAAAAACCTTCAAAAAAAGAGCGTACTCCTTCCTTAAAGGCCGGCATCGCATTTGTGATACTCCTGGTGTTGCAAGTGTCCATGGGCGACGGTGATCACTTACCATCAGGTGAGCCGTCTGCGAGTATGCCCCCTATAACATAAAAAAAAAGGTCCGAGGAGTAATAATCGTCCTGTGCATAAGGTACATTTTAAAACGTGTGCGTTCGAGAAATAGGTTGGAAGGATGATCTGACCGTAGACCGTTTGTACGGGAACCGATGTCGGCGGCTCGCCCCCGCTACACTTCCATCTAATATACAATATTGTTTTACTTTATATTTGAGATAAATTTCATTTCTGCCGGGCTTGTGCAGCTTTTTGTCCATACAAAATTAGTATATAGGTCCATACTAATTAGGAAGCGATGACTGTAGAGGAGACTTTACAGTCATCGCTTCCTAATTAGTGCTGTTTTTGACCTATTGGAGGCCCTGGGCATATTAGGATAATGACCCCCGTTTGGTGATCTAACACGAACTATTGCCCACCTATCGATCACGGGGCCCTGGGCACTTGCCCAAAGTGCCCACTGGGAAAGACGGTTCTGCTCCTAATACCAAAGTAAGTGGCCCTGTCCAAATAGACATAAATATGAGCTTGCGTTTTCTAAGATTTTCTTTCGCCTTGGATTCGAAATTGAAGTTTAAAAAAAACAACTTACATACTCATCATTTTTTTATTTTTTAAGCATGTAACTGCTCGATGTTTAAATCTAAAGAAAATATTTCTAAATTTCTTTTCTAACTAGAAAAGATTTCTAGTTAGAAAAAAAATCCACGCGGATCAGGCAGCAGACGGGACTCGAACGCGCACCCTTCGCTATCCGGACGAATGCACTGACCATTATGCTACCGCGGCCCTGATGGCCGCGTCGAACAGTTTTTAGCCCTTCTTAAGCTGCAAGGCAGCGCCATCTCTTCGCATTGTAGATAACCCACAATGTCAAATGAACCTTTCAAGTATTAAACATTTGAAAGAAGTAATAGGAATTATAGTTATAATTTTTTATTTTTAAGCATGTTACTGCTCTATGTTCAAAACTAAAGAAAATATTTATTAGGTATAACTTACATACTCAATAAATACGCAAAAATCCATAGCGCAGCTGAGAACATCTGTGTATTACAGTATCAGAAATTGTTCGATCATTTCATGGTTGACTTGTGATTTTAATTGACTGGTAGAATGCACTAACAATGAGAATACTATCATGTGTCTGTTAGTACTTTCTTAACGGGACTTTAAATGGCTATTATACATTTGTCATTTGTAAATATTTAAGCTATATCCTCAACTCTAGGAGCTCCATGAGGCAAGTGGTTAGCGCTTTCAGCTTTAAGTAACTTTCGCAGTGCTCGGTCATTGGATGGGTGACCAAAGATTTACTTTCTCGAGATCCTCCGTGCTCCAGAAGGCACGTTAAGCCGCCGGTCCCAGCTGCATCTGCAGTCGTTAGCACCCACCAATCAGCACTACCTTTATTCTCATCAGTTCGATCGCCGAACTCAGTGCAGTTTTTGACCTATTGGAGGCTCTGTGCATATTAGGATAATGGGGCCGTTATGACTTCCGTTTGGTTTTGCCCAAAGTGCCCGCTGGGAAAGACGGGTCTGGTGTAAAACAACCGATTTAAAACGTTTTAAACAAAATGTTGCCGTTTTAAACCCCAAATAAATCGTTTTAAACGGTTGAAAACTGGCATACAAAAATAAAAGAACTATGGTTTTTACACTTCAACAATGTTTCTTTTTTATTTACCAACACAGAGTTTTTATAACTTAGGTAGGTATTGGTGTCGATTCTGGCGTGATTCTCTCAACTTAAAACTAAATTTAACATCAGTCTCTCCTTTTCATTCTGCATAGAGAATGACAGGGATGCACTGTTGTCAAATTTAAGTTTAGCTTTAGAGAATCATGTCAGAATCGACATCAATACCTACGCTTGGTCGCGGATGGACCAACAAGAACTAAACTCGCTAAGTATATCAATATCAGTAAGTAAGTATATCACACATTCAAAAATCTTTATACAGTTTATAGGTACTCCGTTATATTCCTACCTCGGTAAAATCAAGACAATGCTGTCGATTCTGGCATGATTCTCTAAAGCTAAACTTAAATTTGACAACAGTGCATCCTTGTCCTTCTCGATACAGAATGAAAAGGTGAGACTGATGTTAAATTTAGTTTTAAGTTTAGAGAATCACGCCAGAATCGACACCAATGTAGTTATAATAGGCTAGTTTACTCATGTCAAATTGTATTAAATAAATGTTTATTTCTTAAAGTATTTAGTCTAAGGAACCTTAATATATCGATTTCACTTCATAAAAGCAGAAGATTGCTGTAGAAATTTAATTTTAAAAAATATTTTTTAGTCTATATTTTTTAAACACTAAAAACGCTGTTCGCCACATCCGCCATGATTTTGACGTCTCTTCTGGTAAACAACTAAATGTCATTCGCGTGTTACTGTAGGTGGATTCTTTCGTCTGACTAAATTTATCATAAAACACTTTTAACTTTAGGAAAGAAAAAACAGTAAACTTAGTTTTTTTTTGACAAAACTAATTATGGATGCCGGCTCTGTGAAAGCAGAAAGCACAAATCTGCCAAGAATTGACGCATTGATGGTTGGTGAATTTATTGCACTAAACCCCGATTTCTGCTCTGCGGAGCAGAGAAACGACAAGGCATCTATGTAAGTACCGTGCATTTAGTATTACAATGTAGTAATAAACATAAAACTGATACAACATATGAATAAGTGTAATAAAGTTGCGTAGGTTAATTTCTTTCGGCACTTTAATCGACAACTTTCCTGGAGTCTTCAAGGATGTGTTTTTATATTCTCGTACAATACAGTAATGATAATTACTTTATTTTTCGTGGTATTTATTAGAAATCATGTTTTTGTTTATTATAAACTCAGTTAAAAGTAATTTTCTACGTGTTTACGAGTTTTTGTTTACGACAGTTCACGTCATAGCATAGATAATCTATAGACTAAAATGGCCGACAGCGTTTTTGTATGTCCATGAAAAGTCTATTTTAAAATTAAAGATTTGTAGCTTTCTAGGTTTAAAAAAAATACAATACATTTTTTTTCGGTCTAATAGAACATTAATTAACCATTTAAAACCTTTTTCCAAAAAGGGTCAACTAGCCTATTAAGAAAAACGTAGTCATCAACACCAACACGTAGTTTATTTCGGTTTTAAACGGTATTTTTCGTTTTAAACGGATTGGTTTAATTGGTTTTAAATCGGCCTTTCATCTATAAATCGAACTAATGAGATATTTTTTCTCAATTGTTCTACCGTCGTCGAACTACTGAGACTTTATTGTTCTCATTTGTTCTACTCAAAGTTATTTTAATCGAGGAATAAAAACAATAAATAAATAAAACATGTTACAACGGTAACGGCATCTTTTTCAGGATACGAAACGTCAATAAATAAATAAATCAGTGCATGTGATTTGTTCTGATCTGTGTGTGGTGAAAACCTAAGAAACAAACAATAAATGTTTTAATATTCTCCCCTCCACTAAGGGTGTATATCCCATTGTGAATCTAGCATTAAATCCATGAACATTAAATCATTATTTTGAAATAAAATACCAGGGGGCCATTCGCCTGACGTTCCGATCCGTTACGCCGGCAGCTAAGCAGGATGGGGTCACCTACGCCAAGGTGTTAGAGTTGGCGAAAGGAAAGCTGCGGCTCCAGGAGATGGGGATAGAGGGGGGCCTCAAAATTCGCGAAAGCCGAATGGGGACCAAGCTCCTGGTGGTCCC